ATAAAAAAAAATAAAATAAATTGTAGTTTAATTTATATGAATTTTCTTTCACTGTTAATTCTTTATATTATTTTTAATATACAAACTTTATTCATGACTGGAATACTTCTTTATTAACATTGCTTTGGAATTTTGAACTGTTATTTTTTATTTCATCTGCAAACAGTAAATAAGCACAGATTTTAATAAAATTAACTTATTTGAAAGAAAAATTTATTTAAATAATGTACAGTGTTCAAAATAAAAAACGGTCCACCCTGAATAACTTTTGATCTAATGATCGGATCCTTACGTTCTAGGACTCAATCTTAATGGCTCAGAAGGAGATCTCAATTATGCTAATTAATAAGTGCAGACGATATTTTAAGCTAAAAAATCAGACGGAAAACATATTTTCTCAGAATAAATATCCCTTTTTTTTGATGAATTTGAATTTCTGACCCAAAAAATTACTTTACTTTATTACTTAACCGCGCATTTTTAGATATAAAATAAATATAATAAATAACACTTTAATTCAAAGATTATTATCTATAATCAAATTTGCAGAATAAAAAGTTCCACTAAATAAGTGATAAATAAAAATTTTTTTATCTAAACAGAGCCTTAATAATTTTTATTGATTTTCCTGCTGATGACAACCAAAGAAATCGGAAAAATTTTGAGGAAAAACTAGATGATACCATTAGATTTATCTGTCGACTATATTTGGATGGATCGGTCATCATTTACAAATTTTATTTGTTCGTGTATAGTTTCTACATTATTATTCGGACATAACTCAAAGCAATACAACCATAATTCTTCATTGGACATACTAATTATTAAAAAAAATTTAAGTATGTTCATAAAGAGTATTTTTTAAATATGAACCATTATTTTCAGTTTACGAAATTACTTACTTTATTTACTTAATACATTAACTTATCTGCCAAGATTAAATCAAAAGTACGCCATAATTGTTTTGTAAATATTCGATTGGCAAGTGCTATGATTTTTTTCGCATTATTCTTTATTGGAACAATCTGTCTAACAATGACAAATATATATTTGTCATTGTTAAACAGATTTTTCTGAGAGGTTGATACTGAGATACAGTGATTGATACTGAGAGAAAAATAAAATTAAAAGTGGGTTCCCAATATCTTTCAGTGTTCATACGATTTCCTTTAATTTTCGTATTAATGAACCTTGATTGATGAAACAAATCGTATTAATGAACCTTGATTGGTGAAACAAAATTGTAACTAATAAAATCGATGAGAATATTATTTAAGAATTTAGGAGTTTAATAACTGAAGTTCTTACACAATATATTTTCGTGACACATATCGATATTTCATATATTTCGATAAGTCTTCCGGAATTAATATTTTCGTACTTTTTACATTTGTTTACGTTCATATATAAAATAAAGTTTAAATAAAAAACGATGACAAATTTGAAAAGTGATTAAAGATTTAAATAAGTAATATTTCTTCTTAACTATACAATCAATTAATATCTATAGAATTTAGGATTTTTTGTTCGTTATAAGCATTAAAATTTTAACAAACTTTTAAATTTATAAATAAGAAATAAAAAGGGGAAGGTTTCGAGAAAACTTTTATTTGAAGTTACTATTGCTTGAGCATTATGATATTTTCTTAGTTCTAATTTCTTTGTTAAATACTTTCCAACTTTTCAATACACCTCAAAATGAAGGTTTGTGACATAAAGATTCTAATATTCATTGATGCCACCATAATTTTTTTCCTGAAGTCATCAAGCGCAAGTCAAACAATTATTTCCATCATTAGTGCATGTTGTGGCATCAGTAAGAGACACTTTAAAAAAACAAAGAAAGCTTCATCTTGCGTAATCTTTTCTCCGATTCTAATTAAATTTTATTCACTGGAAGTAAAGACGAGTTAAAAGAGTTTTAAGAACTGGAGAATTTATTTTTTTCATTCTTTAATTTTCCGCTTGGCAACGTTCCTGAGGGTTCTAACTCAAGTAACTTTTCAGTTCTCTTCGATCTTGAATAAGTTTTTGATTTGTCGGTTGGTTAATTAAAGCGCCACAAAAACAAATTCGTTAGTACTTAAAGTTAAACGACTTAAACATTTTTTTCTTTCATTACCTTTTTATCACGGGACTTCTTAATGAGTATTCGGCAAAAGGATTAACTTTTAACTACAGCAGCTAAACTGCATCATACTTTTCAACATCACTTTTTTTTTTATATTCGTATGAATTCTACATATGTATGAATGCTACATATGTGTTACATGCCAATGATAATTCTCTAAAACTATTTCTCATAAATTAATGCAACAAAATTTACAATTTTCGTAATTCAGTTATAAAATTGAAACGTTTTAACCGGAAACCCTTGAGAAGTATGAAAATACCCGGAAAAATATTATTCGAGGGATTTTAGGGCAGACTCAGAGAAATAAATAAGATCATATAAGAAAAAAACCTTCTTCAGACAGTAGAAAATTATGAGTTCTCGTATCATTAATGGCAATGAATAATTTTAAGTTCGATTATTTCCTGCTTTTATATTTAATGTTTTTTAAACTATTTAAAACTTCTATAACGGCAATTTGATTACCATGTTTTAATGATCATTATCCATTTTAAAGGATCAAAGTTTTAAGACCTTGTCCAATCTTGATATAAATAACAAACTTTCACATTTTTTAAACAGCAATTTTCACTTCATCTTTTTTAAAAAGCTCAAACTAGAGTTCGTTTTATTAACAAAAATAACCGAATAAAATAAAATTTAATAAATAAATTTCCACCTCAAGGTTCATACGGTTTAATTTGAAACTTGCAGACTTTCAAATGCTTTATTTGTGAATGGGTCACAGTACTCTTAAAAAAATTTAGAAAAAAATAAATCAAATAAATTTTTGGTTGCATTATGTGCACAGTAAATAGCCAATCAATAATTTATTTTCAAAATTTTTTATTATTGTTCAAAAGTTAAACAAAAAACTATCCCTATTTTTCAATCTCTAACACTCTTTTTCCTTGATTTTAAAATTTTTTGTTTGATTATTACAATAATCGCTGCAGGAAAGTTTTACATTCATTTGCTTATATATTGTTTAAACAATTTATATGTTTAATTATCTGCTAATTTTAAGCAAAAATGCTGATTACCCAAGGACAAAATAGTATTAAAATTTTAATAATTTTTAAAAGATTTACTCAATGAGCAATTTTAATAAATTTATCTTGTTCCTAGTAAAAAAAGTTTACTTTTTGGCTTCAACTTCAGTAGAAAAAATCCTTAATAATTCAAATTACAGGTATTCACTAACACAGTCCCTCAAAAGGATTGCTTTCTTTAGGTAAATGCACGTCTTCTTTTCTCTCTAGTTTCTTTTCTTCTTTTTTCCTGCTTTATATGACATAGTTTCATCAGACTACTCAGAAAATACAATGTCGTTTGCTCTTGGCGCTATATAGTCGATTAATCTTAAGATGACTTGCTATTTAGGCCTGCACTTGAACTTCACCGCTAAGCACAAAATTCATTGAATAACATAATGTGAAACTGGTTTTCCAGGTACTCTAAACTCCCTCCCGGGTAAATAGCTAAAGGGTTAACTCTCTTTTATTCATAAATTCTACTTTCTATCAAATTAATGTAAAAATAAAGAGTATTTTTAGAACGGAAAGCGAATCTACAGAATACTTATTAAAATAACAGTTTTGTAGTGGATTCCCTGTTTAACGAAATCGATTTGTTCAAATTGAAGAATTTGCTATAAAGGTGTTAGTGTTTTTTGCAGGTTGAAATGTTATGAAATTTTTAGACAGCAATAAAATGAAATGCTGCAGATCATGAAGAAGGGTTTGAAATGAGATATAGACTTCTCTTCACGCAGAATTCGATTGTTATACGCCATCGTTGGGATAAATACACAGTTAGAAATTTCTCGAAAAAATAGTTGAATAACAGTTTATTTAACTGATATTTTATCATATTCAAATAAAACAGTCAAATAACCATAAATAAGATGGTATTCAGACTATCAACAGTGAGAAAAACAGTTTATTAACAGTTTTCACCTGAGTTAAACAACCAGAATTTTATTGCTCCAACTAGGCCCACCTTATGAAGCAATTTAGCTTCTTCCAGCTGTGTACATATTACAGACGAGATCTGTCAATCTCATGACCGAAATAACGGGATTTGAAAACACAGCCTTGGCGAAACAATATTTTCTCTATTCATTCAACACATGGTGTGTTTCCAGTCTCTTGCATATATCGATTGGTGACTCTGGATTATTGGATTGCGAAACTATCATTCACGCATAGATGGCATCACCACAGAGCTAGTTAACACAAAAAGTTTAGAATATCTCATCGCCGATGGCAAATGGCATCATTAGATAAACTAATTAAGCCATAATCCTTATTTCACTTGGCAAACCAAATTCAACCACAAAATAGCTCGAATGCCCATTACCTAACGAAAAAAATTAACTCCAATGTCCATATAAATTTCTTTTTTGCAGTTTTGAAACCATGCTACTTGTAAATGATCAAAGAAACCGTATAATTTTGTATTCATGACCTTTGAACCATACTATTCGTAAACGGTTTCAAACCCATAAAAGTAAAAAATGTTCTTTACCATAAACTTTGCTGTTAATTGGATGAACAGACGGCTGCTGGTTATTTTACCGTAGTTTTCGAATGAAAATTATTACAGTGCAATGTCAGTGGTACCAGAAACAAGCATGAGCAAGAGCGAATATGTTACACAAAAATTTTAACTTTCAGTTGCATTTCTTTTCAAAATATGATGATAAATCTCTGACAAAATAAAAATAAAAAAATTTGACGACAAAAAACGTCTGAAAAATTTATATGGCGAATATTTTATACATCATTTTACACACGGATTCAAAATTTCCGTTGAGAGACTGCTATAACCATACCCATTCACTCTTTTGAAACATTCTAAATTTCTATTTTTTATCCCTCAACAGGCTGGTGGCACTTGCTGTGATATTAGCGACTATAGACTTTGGTGCTGATTCCCCATGCGTCGCTGACTTGTACGAACATGTCTTGGGATATATGGTCATCCTGTCAGGCTGTGTCGTGGTCGAGGCTTTCATATCCTGGATCAGTATGAGGGGTACCATTCTCGTAACTGTACCAAGAACATCAATGCAGTACCTCTTGTATGTTAGGCTTGGTAAGAAAATATCTAATTACTTATTTTTTAAAATAATTTTTGAAAATATTTTATTGATTTCCTTACTTTCTGATATATCAAGCACAAAAATAACAATTATTGAAAAGAATGCATTTTACTTTACTCGCTTCAATACCTGTAAACCCTTGGACGCATGAGGAACACCGATGTCTCTTTTAAAAAGAAAATTTCTGACACTCTAATAACAAGCAAAAATATATTTTTGTATTTTTTTAAATATAAAAAAAATTGTTCAATAGTTATTAAAATTAATTTGTTGGATTATGGAAATTATATTTGTACTAAAATATAAAATCCAAAAAAGTAATTTGAACTTTTTTTTTAATTTCACATTCAAAAATTTACGAATAATTAATTTTTAAATTAAAGAAATTTTTAATGAGGAACAACTATTTCTCTTAGATCTAAATAAATTTGCTTAATTGAAAGTGAATCATGTTTGGAATATTTTACGTTTAATGCCGAAAAAGACAGTAGTGTTTCATGCGGTTTTTCATAACCATTTTTACTTAGCCCAATATGAATCAATATTAACAACTCATATTTAAACCTATTCACAGAAAGAGGTTTTTTATAGGCTTTCAGATGGAAGAGAATTAAATTTATACGTGAGAATCTGTGTTACAATCCATGAACGGGAGCATAATCATTTATTTAAAAGGAATATAAATGTAGCTATGTGATTCAGTCGTTAAGAGTATTGAAAAGAACTAAGACAGAAATCGATAAAACATATCTATATAGTTTTTATAAACCACGAAAATAAAAAGTTTCACTTAATGTATTCCAATAATGACTTAAATAAAGTTATGAATATGTACGAACAGTATTATTTTCAGTATTATTCAGTATTTATTATGAGTTTATTACTCATGCAAAAATAATTCTGAAAATCATTTTTTTTTGCAGTCTGCTAAAAGAAGACGCTTGTCGGAGAAATAAAAAGTGAACGTATTTAAATTTGTAAAGATAATTATTGAAAATTCATGAATGAGGTATCAAACTGCGGTAAAATTTACGTAATTTTCATATCTATTTATAATCTACAAAACTTCTTTACTGTAGCTTCAATGAATACAAATATAGAAATAGGAATTGAACTACAGTACAGAACCCGTTATCCGGAAATCAGAAAACCGGAACGAAATTCGATAAATTTTCCCGCCATTTAAAAAAAAAAAAATTTTTTTCCTCATAAGATTTTAGGATTTTTCGTTCTTTTTTGAAAGATGTTTACCTTACCATCATTTTGGAAATAATCATTAGTGTATTACTCCATCGTTTTTAGTTGGGTTTAACATTAAAAAAACGGCTTTTTGTAGCGATTCAGAAAACCGGAAAAATCAGTTATCCGGAATAGCGATGGTCCCGATTGTTCCAGATAATCGGTTCCCTACTGTAATTAAAAAAAGGAGAAATAACGTAAAAACTTTTCAGAAAATATACAGGTTTGTGAAGTGAGATATCAACAGTTTGAATTTTCTTAACAAACGCTAGTCTTTTTTTTTTTAAGAAAATCATTAGCCCAACAATAATATTCATTAGTCCATCCACAAGTAACTGTTAAGACAAGTTTTAGACAATTTTTGACCTAAAAACCACATGCTAAAAGTTTGCCATCTTCAAATGTAGGAAATCGTTAGCACAAGTTAACCTATTAAAGATTTTCGTTAACCTGCACATCAAAAAACAATTTATGAGCAAAACAAAATTTAGCTAATTTTTGACCTAAGGACCTCATGTTTTGCTTTTGCCACCAAACGTTATACCACTGTAGAAAATCGTTACCCACCAAAAAAAAAATTATCGCCAAAACAAGTTTCAGCCAATTTATGACCCAAAAACCACAAGTTTGAATTTTATCCCCAAAATTTGGACTATTGTACATGTTGTAAGGCATATTTTACTTAAAAAACTTTTCTCAATAAAGTTTTAAAAACAATAATACTCTGAATTATTCATAAAAAATAATAAGGCGTATTGATAAAATAAATTAAAAAGCATGTTTTTCAAGATAAATCTGTAACTATGGACAGGAACTCTTTACCCTTTGAATAATTACTGCAAATATCCGGTAACACTCCGATTGAAATACAAAATGATTTTATTTGTACTTTGTCAATTTTTAGAATATAAATTTATGGTTAGCAATTGTAATTTTCATTGTTAGTAAAAAAGTGCTTAAAAATCTTCATATTCACAATGAAATAATGAAAATAAAGCTAAAATTCTCTAAATCCGTAATTTTTTTCGTGAAACATGTGTATCTTATACCTCCCGAATGTGCATATCAGCAGCAAAACATTATTTATTTTCATTTTTTTTAAAAATTCAATTAAATGAATTCACAGAAGACACTGTAATTGACTATGCACTTTAAAAATTTGCATGCGTCAATCGTCTTTTAAGACAATTTATTAAGCTAAATTTTTATGCTACCAGGGACAACGTAAGGACTTTTTTCAACGTAAAAGCGCGGCTGCAGGTGTGAGGTAACCTGATAGCAAGGTGCGTGGTAACCTGATAACCTGCTAACATGGAGGGGTTGAAGTAATAATCCAAATTTTTTTTCTTTTCTTTCAACAGCAAAAAAAAAGTGCAATTCTTTTGAAAAAAAGGGTAATAGGAACGATTTATGTCAAAAAAAGGGAGCGTTACTTTGATCCAACTGCACTGATTAAATTCACGTGGTCTTTATCTCTTAATATAAAATAGATATTTTATTTTTATGAATAAATATTATCGTTGCCATCTTCTTTTCATTATATAAGATCTATATTGTGTGAAATTTGATAGAAATGTAATTTTTAGATTTTATAAAAGGTATGATTTAAAAATGAATATTATATGAAATAAATTTATTATTTTTGAGGTCGACGTAGCAATTTTTTTTGATAAAAAAATAGTATAATATCAAGTTATATGAGGGAAGGAACATATAATAATTTTTAACTATCTTTTACTTTTAATTTTCCCGTAATCATAAATAGTCATAATAAGGAACGTGAATTTAGAAAGTCAGAAATGCAATTCTGGTAGAAAACGAAGAATATTTTAGGACATGCGTTTTAGCAAGGCAGCACTTCATCAGGGGACACACTGCCTGCCAACACGCATGAACATGAAGCAACATCTAGTACGATTCACATTTTCGGAACATTTTTAAAATGTTACATAATTAAATAAACCTTAATGAAAATATTCTCTTAAGAGCATTAATGTCTAAAGTAAAATTACGTTTAATAATATTGCATTCAATTTACCTGATAAAAAAAATATAAGAGAAAAATAAATTCATTTTTTAAAATCGACTCACTTGTTTTATTGTTAGTTTAATAAAGTTTCCTTAGATTGGATATTGATCGTTCTCTGGTTCAATTCAAAATTACGATGTGTGTCTCAATGAATGAATGTACAAACGGGGTCGCCTTGTAAAACGAGCTGTGGAGTGTCTGTGTGACTGTAGTCGTGTTCTTGGCCATGGATAGAGCCACTGGAAAACAACAAATACACCCTCCCTCTGCTTTAAATTCTCTTGGTTTCCCATGCAAACTTGCTGGCATCGCAATTAGGCAATAGAAACAACATAAACTTTCCTAACATATAAGCCTATTTTAAAATTATTAATTATTTATTTATACCATGTAATCAAAGGTGAAGAAATAACCTAATTATGATTGATGGTGGAGAATACATTGTTATTGTTGTTGTAGTTAATTTACGTCGCACTAGAGACACACAATGGGCTATTAGAAACGGTTCGAGCATCCCTGAGGATGATCCGAAGACAAGCCATCACAATTTTGATGCACTGCAGAGGGGATGGCACCCCTGCTTCGGTAGCCCAACGACCTGCACGCAACTTCGAGCACTTTACGTTAGAACAGTTTAACGAGGACCAATTCCACACACCCTCGGTTCCTACGCAGACTGATCCAAGTGGTCACCCACCAACACACTGGCTGCAGCCAGTGATGCTTGACTTCGGTGATCTGCTGGGAACCGTGTCTTAACGGTCAATCCACTGCGGGACAAATACATTGTTAAATAAAATAAAAAGGTAAACTGGGTAGTGCTTAAATATGTAAATTTTAATTTCTCCAACAACAGTGTTGCGCAGTTAGATATACTTTAACATTATTTGCCGCCAAATTTGTAATTTGATCGCGATGTTGTTGTTATTCAAACTTGAAGATGCTATCTTCGCAATTTAGCCAAAATTTGTTTTAGCTTTAACTTTTTTTGGTGAGTGGGTAAAATAAAATTCTTGGTGGGCTAAGGATTCCGTACAATGAGCTAACGTTCTTTGGCAAATTCCAAACTTATGGTTTTTATGTCGAAAATTAGGTAAAACTTGTTTTGGCTTTAACTTTTTTTGGTGTGTGGGCAGACAAAAATTTTAAGTGAACAAATGAGGGCTAACGATTTCCTATAATAACCTAATGATGCGAAACAAAATTCAAACTTGTGGTTGTCATTTGCACGATAGGGCCAAAATTTGTTTTCAGCCATAAAGAAAATAAATTTTGTTGATGAATAGGCTATCAACAAATTTTTGGAGTGCTAACGTGGGCTAACGATTTTTTATAATGACCTAAAAATTGGAGGCGGAATTCAAACTTGTGGTTACCATCATCATAATTTTGCCAAAATTTGTTTTGGCCATATTATTTTTCCTGGTGGGTAAGTTAAAAATAATTTTTGGTGGGCTATTGATTTCCTACAATGGGCTACATTTGTAGGTGAAATTCAAACTTTTAATTTTTAGATCAAAAATTGTCTAAAACTTGTTTTGACCAAAATATTTCTTTTGGTTGGCAGATTAACGAAACTTTTTCAACGGGTTAACGATTTCCTAAAATGGGCTAACATGTGGAGGCAAAATTTAATCTTGTGGTCTTCAGCTTCAAACACTTGAAATATCCGACTGTAGAATGACTCAATATGCAAACGAAATTAATTTTTATATTTATTTTCCCTACAATGCATTCTTTAGGTTTTTAATATTATAAATTTTAAAAACAAATTTCATTTTCTCTCTAATTAAATTCTTTATAATTGCTACTATTCTATTCAATAAAATTTATGTTTGTTTCTGGCTTCATTTTTATCAAGATTACAAAAAAAGTTGTTGTTCTTGTTGCTTCTAATGACACTTAACCTATCCAAGCTTGCCAGTCACTGTCTTGCGATTTAAGTTCGAAAAGTGCCCTTTAGTTTGACAAGAGAGCCCGGAAGCGTGAAAGTACGTCTTGGCTCAGAATCCCACTGATAGATGGCAGCAGCTCTCATTCGTGAAGCCACTTCTTAGACATGGATATGAAGAGGAAGAAAATGTTCTCCAGATCTCTGTATCCATAGTACATAGTGAGCACGTATATTATATATACTCGGTGGGTCTTTGTGGAGTCGAGAATTGAATCCCGGTCCTTCCAGACCGGAGTCAGCCGGTTATAAAATAATGAAGTGTACAGGAATAAAAGGATTTTTGTGCAGATGCGAATGCTGTCGCCAGACGAAGGATATACAACCAGCTTTTTAGCAAGGCAACAATCCCCGATCTAAACTACCCAAGAAACCTCTCCTCTACAATAGCTGGGCTACGTACTGGACATTTCAAGGGCATGAAGATCTCACGCACCCATATAAAATTCTATTCCGTCTGCAAGTACTGTCCTCATCTGCAACTAACTCCAGACCATGTTTTTGACTGCCAGGACATTATCGTCTCCCTCTTTCAACTTGGAGCACCTCCCATCGAAATTCTCCATGGCCATCGGGCTCCAGAACTTGAAAACCTTGTTATCAAGACTTTTGGAGGACTCTAATCTTTGCACTAGCATAGACACGACAACAACAACAGCAACTGAAGAAAAACTAAAATATGGCGATGAAAAATTGCAAATATATTAATTAATTTTTAAGAGCTATTCAATTTACTTTAATAGTTTACTCCTAATATTTAAAGTGCTTAGTTATTAACCCATACTAGAAAACCTATACATAGTGTTTTTCTTATTTTAACTGTAAAACTAACTTAATTTTCGATCCCTTAGGTATACGGTGATTTGCGCGCATGCGTGGTGAAGCTCAATTAGCGTTAACGCTAGGCTTAAGGGAAACCATAGCCCTGTGCAGAATCTCATTATTATCACCGAAAAACAATTCTAGATATGTCCATAGTAGCACCACAAGCATATGCCCTAGCTACTCTGATGAACTCTTGAATTGCGTAAAAGCCTTATAATTTAATTTTAAAAAGTGCAAATGAAAAGTGTCTATGAAATTAATTTAACAAGCATGTTCGTATTAAACATATTAATCAGTGTTAAAAGCATATTCATTAATTATATAACATCTACTATCATATAAAAAACGAATACAAATAACTTCGTATAAATTAGAAAGCAAATTAAAAAATAAATTTTCCCCCGTCGGAAATCTTTGGTTTATAATTTACTATTTAACAATAAAGTATGTCGTCACGCAACTGCATATGAAAATGTAAACTAGTTTAGTAAATCTGACAATTTTTTTAGAGATTTTGACAGATAAGAAATAAAATTATTTTAGGTGTTCACATTGGCCTTATGTTCATGCTTTAAAGATAATTAGAGAAGATGATATTTTAAATTTCGAAGTCAGGCACGAAAACCTACTTTCGCTGAAAAGTATTTTTTTTTTGCCAATGAATTCGGATTTTTTAGGGCTCTCAGAATATTGCAGTAGGTTAAATTTTGGAGATAATGATAATTTTAACATATTTAAGTAAGGTCTATAGTATAACGGTATAAGGGAAAAACTACGTGACTCAATGTTAGATTCGAAACGAAGTTAATCAAATCGCATATAGAAAGTGTAATAGAAAGTAAATAGGTGAAATGAAAGGGAGAATGATGAATAAGTGGATGGATAAATGACTGAAGAGGTGTATGAACAAGTGAATGAGTGACTTATATGAAAAGATATGAGTAAAAAATAATGAAATAATAAAATAAATGAATAATATAAATGAATAAGTGTATTAAAACGGATGAATGAGTGAATAAATTAATGAGGGAGAAGATGTTAGAACAAATGAATGAATCAACTAATACGGCATTAAGTGCATGAATGAACAAGGTGATGGAAAAATTTACGATGATGAATGAAAAAATTAATGAATAACTGAATGAAAAAATAAATGATCAGTGGGTGAATGAATGGACATAGGAAAATAAAGCTGATCTATAAATAGCCGAATCAGCTAATTATTTGGTGAATCAATAAGGGTCATTGAGATTGTCATTGTCATTTACTGTCACAGTCATTGTTATTTATAAAAATGTAATAAATTGATGCAGTAATAAACTAAAATTACATAAAGTATCCTTTTTAAAATAAGATCAAAAGTTATTTTTAAAATTCAAAAACCATTTTTAAAGCAGAAAAAGCTGTATTTACAAACAAAAATTTATACTTTTACTACAGATATATCTTTTTAAATAAAAGTCTCACAACTATCATAAATTAGTGTAAAGCTTATTTGCTGAAAGTATTTTCGTCTTTTAGAAAATATATCGTAAATATTCATATGGTAATGGAAAACAAATGTTAAGATAAATATAATTTAAAAGTAGAGAATATTCAGAGTAAATATTTTTTTCTCTCACAGAAAGGCAGTAGAAGAAAAAAAAACTCGGACGAGCGGAAATAAAAAAAATATTCTTTCTAATAAAATACGCATTTTGAGCTACATATTTTACTTAAAGTAATTTAAGCAGTGTATTTATTTTGTGTACCAGTTGAGTAAGGGAAATTAATTTTGGATTTCGAGGAAGAAAGAATTTTTTAGAAATCATTTTTACTCGGAGAAGAATTTTTTATGCTATAAAGAGTTTTTATAGGATGTTGAAGATAAGCTGGTTATTAGAGCTAGATGAGACTCATTTCAGCTTGAAGATCAAACTTTTTCTTTAATAAAAAATATTTTTAATGTTCGAAAATATGCATTTAGTTTCTTTCTAGTATAACCAATTATTAAGTGGGGCGTATAATTAAAAGATATCTACATATTAAAATTTTTTATGGAATGTTTTTAAAAAATAGTATGCGTAAAAAAATGACTACTTTTTTTAGTCGATTTTTATCTCTTTTTGATTAATCTGTCTTACTGACGCGAAAAGAAGAGAGGCCCATTTTCTTCTTCACAAACAANGTTTTTATAGGATGTTGAAGATAAGCTGGTTATTAGAGCTAGATGAGACTCATTTCAGCTTGAAGATTAAACTTTTTCTTTAATAAAAAATATTTTTAATGTTCAAAAATATGCATTTAGTTTCTAGTATAACCGATTATTAAGTGGGGCGTATAATTAAAAAATATCTACATATTAAAATTTTTTAGTGAATGTTTTTAAAAAACAGTATGCGTAAAAAAAAGACTAACAAAAACTCTTTTTAGTCTTCTTAAACAAAAAAGGCTTATATATATATATATATAGTGAATGTTATATATATATATATATATATATTCTGCTGTCGCAGTACAGATTGAATATAGTAAAAGAAAAAAGTCTTACCTAATTTTGTTTTTAAAAGTGACGTTTTTTTTGTTAATTAAATGTGAAAATTATCTTTTAATGTTGCTTATCAGATTGGAAAGAAAATGTACTTTTTCTTACGATATAGTTGCAATAATTTTTTTCTGAAACAATAGGTCAGATTTAATTTTCGAACAATTAAACAAAAAAAGAGTAGTCAAGCAATTTAAAAGTCGGAATTAGAATTTTGCTATAATTTGATTAACTATTTATTCATAATATGAAATGTAACAAAATATTGGAATACAAATTAAAGAAATATGTTTGAAAAGTACGTTTATAAAATTTAAAGCAGGTACAACTCAATATATCAGTGCAATCTCTTGTGTCATACATAAATTTAAACAATGTTAGTGTGCAAAATAACAGTAAATTTCAAGCATATAAACAAGGTAAAATTACTAATATTTTCAAACTATCTATGTCTGTTATCTTAATACTGAATTATGACCTAGGCTTTCATGTCTAGTTATTTCAATTAACTCGAATTTTTTGCTTAGTATAATGATTCGAAATTTACGACAAATTTAACTAATTAGCAAATTTAAACTTCTTATATTTTCAGGCATTCTGGCTGTTGAGTTTGCATGGCTTATAATTGGTGTTATCTGGTTAGCGAGGCATTACGAATCCTGCCCAGTTGGTGCTGCTAAAAGTGCAGTTTTAGGTAATTTTTATTTCGTCAATTTGATCTCTCTTTTTTTTTCAGTCATATAATTTTTGAATTAAACTGAGTGAAAAATTCTGATGAATCTAAAAATTTTCTTTAGATGGAATTTTAGTTTGTTGAATGAAAGTTAGTTTGTTTTAGTTCAACTTTAGATAGAAGTTTAAGATTAAGACATTAACGTATGCTTAGTGTTCTTTATTACTCGTACATTGAAAAGCATGAAAATTTTCCTTAAAAAATAATTAGCATTTTTTTTAGTTGATATGCTTTATCTTCATATCGATTTCGTATTGGGATGCTCTTGAAATTATTGTACTGATATATTTTGAATAGGTTTGTCGTCGGCCTTCTGAGCATAAGTCTGCGGGTTCGATCCCCGGCACAGACACCGGATTTTCGGAAAAACAGAAAGTCCTCAGCGGATTTTCGGATGCAGAAAATTCTCAGCGGCCATGTCGTATGATTGTGCGGCATGTAAAAGATCCCTGGAGTGCCTTATTGGCTCTTGGTGGTAAAATTAAAATTTCTAGTAATTTCCAAGTAAAATTAAAATTTCTAGTGCACTTTAGCATCCAAATGGAGTCTCGGTGCTGCCATCTGGTGTGGCAGAAACTAGACGTCCAAATTAACATGGCCAACGGCATCTCACCCATTGTGGTGGTCCTGAAAGAGTGGATACCACNCGAGTGCAGCGCCACTAATTTGCATATTGCAATTTTACTCAGCTACTCTTAGTGGACAACATATGCAAATTTTGCACGGTTTGGCTTACTTTTGAAAGAGTTATCGCTATTTTTGTGATTTTTCCTTAATTTATGATAACCAGTGTATATATATATTGAATATACAATATAAGAAAGCACTCTAGTTTACGGATGTATACGACGATTATATCTGACGACGAGATTATATCTTTTTTTTCTAGCTTTTTATTATTTTTTTTAAATTTTTAAAATTTTTTTAAATAAATTTGCTATTTTCAGTACTTTCTCTTCTTCTTCTTAAAAAAATGACTTATGCGTTTTTAGTAAATGGGATGAATTTGGTTCTTGGTAAAAGTCCAATTAGACAACTTCGATTTGGTCAACTTAGACAAATGGTTAACTTGCCAAGTTTCTCGGTATTCGAATTTCGAATTGTAAATTCAGAACAAAATTTTTTATCATTCCAAATTTTCATCAAAGTAATTCTGTTTAATATTTTTTTGATATTTCGTTTCGCTTGTGAATAATTTTTTTGCCATTTACAGAATATGCTATTTTAAATGGGGTTCAGAAGTTCTTATTCTCATTTTCTTAGATAATGCGTGGATAAAAAAATAACGTTGGCAAAATAACGCTTGGATAAATTTTTCACGTAATCTGTACCTCTTATAGGTTTAAGCAATTTCAAACTAAAAATTCTCGTATGTTGAAGAGTATAATTTAGTCTTTACCTTGCCTTTGCATTATTTTGCATATATATAACGACATTTCTTCTACACGACATTTTATGCTCTTGATATTTTGATCGGGTATTGTTTGCAAGCATAGGTATGGCGCAATAAACCTAAACGAGTTTGCTAATAAAAGAACCATGATAAAATTATTGAATTTATATACCAACCTTTTCAGAGAATACTAGCTTTTAAGCTAACTAAGTAAATGTATGGATCTTCTATCAGGTGTTCCAAAAATTACTCATGATTTAAAAAACAATATATTAACAGGAAATATGAGGAATTAAAATGTGTAATTTGTTACGTCCAACGTACAAAGCTAATTACTATAAAAAAAATCAAAATTAGCTTTAATAATCGGTCTCATATTCATTTTGACTAATTCTATTGTTTTTTCTTTTAATTTGATATTATTTTTTCTACTTCTGAGTAACGACTATTTTACACCGTTCCTCGCTAACATTTAATCTCAAATAGCCATTTCTGCTCTGGAATTACTATGCAAATCAAAAGCTTCTCTCAAGTTTGGATCTGGTAGATGTAAGCGACCACAAACTCTATTAACTAGCAAAGAAATATCTACTAATCAACAAAATATAACATGAAAAATCATTAACACAATGGCTCACAACAATTGTAATGATTCTATTGATTTCTTAAATCATTAACTATTTGTATGCTGTCTGGTCTGAATCAAAATAATGATTTTAATTGAATATTGTTATTTGCTAATTTAAAAAAATACACTGAACCGACATCAGTACGTTTACTTTTTCCACAAGACTAAAATAATTTGATCAAAGCAAATTATTTAGCCGGTAAACAATACCAAGAAATAAAATATAATTAATAAAACTTGAAAACATTCCACAACTTTTAAAAGAGTATTTTTTTAAATTGTTCTTCTTTAACACTGTCAGCTATAAATGAGAATTAATAGACAATGGCCCTAAAAACAAATGAGAATACTCCTTCTCAGTGACGTCAAAGAATGAAAATAGAAAGATAAAAGTTAATTTTAAGCGGTTTAAAATATCCGCCAATTCTTGGCAGGAAGCCCTTGTTTACTAACTGTATTCGTGTCCGTCAGACACTTCATCTTTTTACTCCTGAATAATTCAATACAGGAAACGCTGGCCGGGAAAGAAAAACAACAATTCTTGAACTTACTTCGCCATCCCGTTTGAAGAGAATCCTGTAAGTAAACTAAATAAACTTTACTTTAAAATTTTGGTTTCTGGGTTAGTGCTGATGTTTAATTAAATATTCACTAAACGTAATTTCTTCAGTTTTCTAAAGGAATAAATAATGGATTTGATTTAGATGGTTGCTCAGTAATTATCTGTACCATTGTTAAAATCAAAACTAATAGTTATTTGTAAGTTATATTGTTCGAATAGAATATTAAAAAAAGAATTAATAATTTATACCATTGTGCGTGCTAGTTCCGGAACAAATTATCAACTTTACTTTATTATGCAATAACGACTGAAAGATTTGCTTACACGTGTTAGTTTTTTTATGGGTTTCTTCATTTACATTTGCGTGTCTTCTAGAGCAACTTCAGGTAGTTCCGTTGATTATTTCATATTTTCATGCTTTGCATAATTTATATTTTACATGTCTTCAAGTTACATATTTTTATGTGTGTCTTCAAGTATAACTTCAGGTAATTCCATTCACACATCATAAATTTATACGTTGTTTCATTTATCTTTTCGAATCTTAACATAACTTCATGCGTTTCGATTTACTATTCATGTTATGTGTCACTTCGTTTATTTTATGCGTTTATCCATTTGTTACTTCAAGTACTTTTTCAATGTTCCTTCATATCTCCCTAGTATTGCTTCATGGCTTTCATGATATTTTTAAACTTCAAATATTTGACACGTGTTAGTACTGATTTCAGTTCACACAAATAAAACTTTATGCGCCACTGTAGCATAGACAAGTGAATGAACTTAGCTATCATATATTTCTCAGAAGTTATAAGAGTGTAAATTAATCAGATCATTCTCATTGACTTTGAAATGAACCGCACTTTTAAACAAAAATATGCTAATACAGTGCTCAAAAAAGAAGAAGAAATATCACTGAGCTACTTCCTACTTATAACTTTTGAACTAATGTTTGGATCTTCACATACTAGGACTCAATGATTCGAGAAGCTAACCTCAAAAAAAGATGCTAATTAATTAGTGCAGAGGATATTTTAAGTTGCGAAATCAGACATAAAACGTACTTTCGCTATATTCGCCCCTATATTTTATCAAGAAAAGGTTTGTTTATTCATAAACAAACCTTTTCTTGATAAAATATAGGGGGTAGTTAAAATTTTAGAAATATGGTCCAAATAGTTTGATCAAAAGAACTGCTCAAGATTTGAACCCCTTAATTTTACTTTTTGCTTATTTTGCCATATACCGAAAATTTTTTGAGTGATTTACATATTTTTGCATACAATTATTCGTTGATTCGTAAATTCGTTGATCTAAACATCATTTCGAGCAAGAAATAATTTTTAATAATTATTATTTTTTGTTATTATTTTATTTATTAATAGTAAGAAAAGTTTTGAATTGAATGGTTTACAAATTTTAACATCATTTTAGAAAGTGTTAGTTTGTATGCAAAATACAAAATTTGTTTGAAATCAGTTGAATAGATTTTTATAAAGTCAAATTTTAAGCATATGACTTCTTTAAATTTGATTTCTCAGAAACTATTCGAACGATTTCGTTAATGTTCTGTATTTTCTCTTAAAAAGGTAAAAAAGGTACGTCAAAAAATAGCATGTTTATTCAGAGAAAGTACATTTTCCTGTCTAATTTCGTAACTTAAAATATCACCTGAAATAATAATTAGTTCAGGTGTTAATTGAACTAATTAACATATTTGAAGTCACCTTCTCTAATCATTAAGATAAGACTCTAGTAGGTAAACATCCGATCATTAGATTAAAAGCTATTCAGGGTAGTTCTTTTTTTTGCGCTCTGGGCAATAAAGCGTATTAGGGTAACATAACAAGTATGATACGCTAATTGATGCTTTTTCAACAACGCAACTTGTCGTTTATATTTATACATTTATCACTTTATAAAAGGCTGTCTTCTTTAAATAAAAAGTGTGAATTTCTTGTTTGCTTTTATTATCTTAAACTGAAATAAGCTTAATAATTTTTATTATTTTGTAAGTAATATTTAATATGTAAGTACTTTAAGTATACTTCAAATATTGCTATCAAAGCATCGAAAATTGTTATTTTCTTCATATTTTAAACTGAAAAAGCATTAATGTAACCCATACAGAAAAACAAGAGCACATTATCTTTTCTGAGCTGACAATCAAAGAAAAAAAGACATCTTCTTTATAAAACGAATTATTTTTTTATGAAACACATATTTTATTAAAACAGGCTGGGAGTCCTAGACAATTAGCCTTCATCTTAAAAACATCATTGCTGTGAATATTGGGCAATGGCACTTAACTTTAAAAAACATCAAAGCAGGGAATACTTCACAATTACTCTTTACCTTAAAAATCAACTTTGAAAGAAATACTGGGCAATGACTGGTTACCTTAAAAAAACATCACTGTTGAAAATACTGGGCAATAGTTACTTATTTTAAAAAAAGCATCGAGGTAGGGAATATTGGGCAAATTTATTTTTACCTTAAGAACATCTTTATAAGAAATACCGGATAACTATCCACACAGCCCTTATCGAATAGCAATTCCCTTTAATATGGTTACTATTAATGAAACATGTAAATTATTAAAAAAAATTGTGCCTTTTTTATTAATGTAAACCAAAGCGAAAATAAACCAACGTTTTGCTCCAAGAAATTTCTAATATGTAGGTATCAATAAATGATAATCATACCAATTAAAAGTATAAAATAAATAATTTTTCATGTTTTGTCCGTTATTCGTCTCACACTGTATACAAAGTCTAGGCAATGTGCAGAATGTTTAATCATTTCAATATTTTCCGGTCCATTTTACGCATTGTAGAGAATACCAGATTTTTAACTTCGCCAGTAAAATCTATTTTATAACCACCCTTTTAATCTTTATGATTCTTTGCATGATGATAATTTTTCAGGTATTGTCATATGCAACTGGTGTGTCCTATTGAGTGTCCTGGTGACCACCTGGTGTGCATTCGACTCTGCCGGAAGATCCTGGGTTAAAATGAAACGCTTTAAAATCAGTGATAAGCCACTGCCCCCACACCACAGAATATCGGGACGACACAGGAACTGGAGACACAGGTTAGACCTTATTCTCTGATGGATTCTAATAGTTTTAGACAATATAAAATTCATTCTGCATTAATGATTTAAGTGAACTAGCATAACTGTTCATTTCTTTTTGTTTGTTTCGTTTTGATATCTGATGATTTGCAGGGTTGGCAACTGGCTTAAATTGTATGGATTAACTTCCAAAATTTAAGTCTACTTACTAATTAAAGTTGCAACCTTTTGTTTATGAAGTTCAGGATAAGGGAAACATGCCTTGAAATGATTAACTTACTATATGAGCATTACTTATACTGTCCTGCACTGCTGCTTACGATTGCATTGCTTTGCCTATTATAATTATAAAGAAAGAATATAATAGGAAAGGAAATAGCAATCAGATTTAATATATTCCCATTTTACATATATAGCTATATATATTATGATACAATTATAGCAAAGCATATACTAAAATGAATAGTTTACAATGTTTCGCATTATTGTACATTATTGAGACCGAACTGCATAGCAGATTATGATTGTACTGCTTTGCCTGTTAAGTTCAGTTTCAGGGAAGCACGGTCAAACTTTGTTCCTTTGCGATGTTCTTACATTGCTGATAGTGATCAACAATACTGATGAAAATGCTACTGCATTGCTTTAAAAACACAGTTTTAGAGGAAATGCACTCTGTACTTATCAAATTACAGTGCTCTGCATTATTGATACTGACCAGTGATGCTAATTACCACTACACTGCTTTGCCTTTTAATAACATTTTATTAAAACACAATCTAAATTAATTACTTTTCAATGTTTTGCATTACTGAACTGCAATACTGATTGTCTTGTCTGTCTGCACTGTCTCGTTTATTAAGTGCAATTTTAGAGAAGCACAAACCGAAGTGAATAATTTACTATGTCTTCCATTTAATTTCGAGCAACTAACATGTATGCAAGATATATTTTACAGACTTTACCTCTTAACTTTCGAACTGTGATATCTAACTTTAATGAAAATAAAAGATCGACATAATGTTTTTTCATATGTATCGATAATAAGCATATATTTTTGACAAATATATTTTTAGTTGTAAAATTTTTAGCAAAAACCCCAATAAGGGAAATTAATAACCATTGTGGGGAAAGGTAAATAAGATTAGCATTCAGAACATCATGCTTTACCAATTTTCACTTTATCAATCATTTTTATAAAGAATATTGGTTTTTAAGAATAAGCTAATTATTGTAACAAGCTCCAGTTCTCAAGAATATTTTATTCCAGAAAACTTTTTACATAAATCTTTTATTCCTGAAAATTTTTCTTACAAAACTTTTATTCCAGAAAAGCTATGAGGGAGTATCAGGATAGCTGGAACAAACGATGCCGTCTTTTATTCTGTTGTATAGGGCATTCAGACCAACAAAGAGTAAGTTATTTTAAATAAACTTGAACGGCAAATTGTTTGAAGATACAGCAATGTTATCAAAGAAAATTGTTTGCAATTCTCAAATTTTAAATTGCAAGCTTTGTGCTTAAATAAATCAATGAAAGAAATCTTCGCATAAAAAGTATCTATCATCGCGCTTTCAATAGACTACTTTGAGAGATACTACTACTTACTGGTCTAAAAAAGAAAAAAAACTACCAAAGAATTTTTAATGAAGAATAACTATTTCTCTTAGAAGTAAAAAAGCTGTTAATAAGTGCGAAATTGAAAAATTATTGTTTGGAAGATTTTATCTTTAACGCAGAAAAAGACACCAATGCTTCTTGCTGCATTTCATATTATTAAAATGCTAAATATAATATTTTTCATTCATTTTGACCTAAATTGATACAAATTAATAAAATTTATGAAAAATAGGCTTAATAAAAATTCTGAGTGAAAAGGTTAATGACTCACCGTTTTCAAATATCTCCAAAGAGATTGATGTCTCAAATATAGTTGACATCAACCATATTATTAGTTTCACGTAATTTATTTCACGTATTATTTAAAATTTAATTTGAAGCCTGCAGATTAACTTTAATACAAAATACAGGCAGGGCCGGATTAACCTATGGGCACACTAGGCACGTGCCTAGGGCCTACGAAATTCAGGGGCCAACGAAAAACGTGGGAGAAAAAAATTTCTTGACAAAAATAATTTAGCTTTAAAAACAACAAGTGTATTTTGCACAAAATTATGAAGATACAAATAAAAATATAATATTTTTCGGTAATAAATTATTTTGCAGAATCTTATGATCTAATATATTACTTTTTTGCGATTTTTGGATTCAACGAAATCTTGTATTATGCTGTCGAATTCCAAACTACGCAAAATGTCGTATTCAATAGACATAAGTGCGAGCGATGCCAAACGATCTTGATTCATTGTTGAACGCAAATAATTTTTTATCAATTTTAATCTGGAGAAAGATCTTTCTCCTTCTGCATTTGATCCAAGAATCGACAAATATATTCTTAATGCAATGTGAACGTTAGGAAAAGTATTCACAAGTTTATCTTTAATTTGAGCCTTCAACATTTCTTGTGCAGATTTATGTTCATACAAATTTGAAAATAGTAAAAATTCATCTACAAAGTTTTCCTTTAAATCGGATGAGTAAATTTTCACCAAATTTTGCGCTTTTAGTTTAATCTCAGATTCTGAAAAAAAAAATATGCAAGAATATTTTAGCATATATTTTGAAAAGAGGGGAGGAGTGGGAGAAGGAGGGGAGGGTCAAAAAACTGCTATGCCTAGGGCCTACGAAAAGTATAATCCGGCTCTGAATACAGGTTATTATTTTTAGTGAAAAAAAACTTTTATACATCATCGGTGAGTTTTTAAATCTGGATACAGCCCGAAATACGTGTTTAAAAATGGACACAGATGGAAATGCGTGTTAAAAAGATGAGCTCAGCTAGAAACGTATGCTTAAAATATGGACACAGCTCGAAATGTGTTTTTATCAAATGGAAATAGCCAGAAAGGTGTATTTAAAAGAGAACGCAGCTAGAAATGAGCGTTTACGAAAGTGGACACAGCTTAAAATGTGTGTTTTCATGAAGTGCTTCTCTTAAATTTTTTACCAAAATTTAACACTTAAACAATAAATTACGTGCTTATTTTTCTTTACCTCCTTAAACACTAATCATTATAGGACAAAGTCCCAGACTTCGTTGTCGGAGTAACTAGATATATTACACATGTAACTTTTCAGGTGATTTCTTCGTATTCAGAACTTTAAGCGATGAAGCGAAGTTTAAAACTGTAAATTGATAAAACATAAATTTACAACCACTATTATGAATGTATAACAACCGTGGCATCCTTTTAAAAACAACTGTTGGCTCTTAAAGTCTTTAAAAAAAAGGACTAATTTAATGTATTGTACCGAAAGAAGTTTAAGTATTAAACTTCTAATAACACATTAAGGAGTTATTTTGATTTATTATTTTATTCCTTAAAAGAATGACAACACTCATTAAAGAAGTTTGAAAAAATGAAATCAAATGTTATATTCATTTTCTTAAAAAGCTTTGTCAATTTTTTTAAACACGCCTTGTTTAGTTATATCTATTTTGATAAACACGCATTTCGAACTGCGTTCATTTTCGTAAACAGGTATTTTGAGAATTTAAATACTCACTGACGATATAGTTTTATAATCCTTTGAAGAAAATAAGTTTTAAAAAAAGTAGTGAAAGTAGTTACATTGAAACCTACAAATTTATATCCAAGTGAAAAAGAAAAAAAAACGTCATATAAATCTAGCGAATCACAAGTGATAAATATGATAATGAAAACGTCAAATGAAGTTTGAATGCCTGATGAAGTTTGTTGGTATTTTTAACCACCCACTTTCAACCTTCTATGTTTTTTCTGAAAATAAAACAGGTTTTCTATGCATTTAATCTCTTCTTTATCAGTTTTTATTTGTTAAACTTCGGAATTGTTTTTATTTCCTCTAACTAAAATATTCATTTGTGACACCTAATGTGTACACTTTTTTTTTACTTTAAAGTATATATAAAAGTATATATTAAAGACACGCATGACGAAATACTATTTTATCCTTTTTTATTGATTATTGGTCTTTAAATTTATTTTACAAAAATTTTGTTTACTACTTTATTTTAATATACACATGTTTATTGAAAATGACAAGAAGCACAAATACAAAATTTTAAAACACGACCATTGCAGGAAAAGTAGTTTGACTTCCCTTTGCACATTCGAAAAACTACGCAGAACAAACTTAAACTTAATAAAGTTTTGCATTATAACTAATTTAATGCATTCTAAAATTTTTATATTTACTAACTAAACTAATACTTCTTCGTTAAATGAGAAATAAATATACATACTGCATGACTTAGATTATTTGATTTATCCGGTTAACCAACGTGCAATTCTCTAAGCGTTTAAAATTAAAACAAAGGTAATGTTGTATTAATTTATTAACTCCCTCACATCTTCATCAAATTTATGCAAATATACTTTAACATTCCAAACAAGTGAATAAAATTTCACCCCATTTCCGAGTACCTTCATGAATTATTCATGAACTTATTGATTACTTTTGGAGAGTTTAACCATAAAGAAATATATTAATTCAAACTAGATGGAATAATTTCCAATCTAGTGTTGATGTCTTTTACCAAAATATTCCATCAAGCTATGTGGAAAATACGATTGATTTCAAAATCAATATATTTCCATAAAATGCATTCAAAGATTGTTGCATAGTTAAAATACTTTTCTAAGTATGAGTGTGAATTGTTTGTTTGGAAATATATTAAAAGAAGTATAAGCTTAGTATATTATTACTAAGCTTTTAATAACTCGAGTTTGTGTCTGTGAGGATAGAATCTTGCAATCGAAATTTTCACCACTTTTCGAATAACTAGAGTGCTTAAATCTTATCTGGAGATGAAATGCCTAATAATAATACGGGTTTCATTTGTTTGCTGACCTCTACCGTAAAATAGATCACTTTGTGAGAGCAAAGGTTTCTTTGAGATACTTGTAACAGCTTCTAACAATGTAATTTTTCAAAATGTTTTGTAAAGTTTGCAAAATAAATAAAAAATTATCATTCAATTTTTTTTTTATTTATTTATTTATTTATATATTATTATTTTTTTTTGTTGTTTGGTTTTTGCCAAAGTCATCAAATTCAAGGTGATTACTTTCTGACAAAGAAGAAGAAGAAAATATTTGTTTTAAATTTTCTGCTATTTAGAATAAATTTGATTAAAAATTGCATTCGCTTCAAAAATGTACAAATTGGTATTAACAGTCAACATGTTTCAAAAGCTCATAAACAGATTTGACAGACATGAATGAATGAATTAATTTCACGTCTGGCAAGTCTTGAAATTAGGCACCGGTTTTTCAGCGCTTAAAACACGCCGACTGTTAATACCAAATTGTATATTTTTGAAACGAAAGCAGTTTTGAAGCTTTTAATCAATATATGTCTGCGAAGCATTTTTTTAATGTTGTAAATAAATCTTTATTCTAAATGTTAAATGAATAATCCCAAGAAACTGAAGTGGTAAAATATTACTGTGTATTACTTCTAAGTTTCAAACTTTTAGCTATCTAAGTTTCAAACGTTTTCGAAGCACAAAAAGCAGTACTTATTACCAGATGATTATTCATAATTAAAATTGCAATCATTTTCCTACTAGCAAGAGTGCTCAAATTTTAACTGCAGCTTTTTGTTTGATGTCAATACTAGATATAGAGTTTTCTGAATAGTTTGAATGAAATTTATAGCCAATCAAAATTTTGATCAGTTTTCGACGTAAACAAACTAACAGACACAAAACTAAAAAGAGGAAAATAATGAAATGAAAATGTTAGAAATTTTAACATATAGACTAAAACGGTGAAAATAGTTTTTAGCTTGGCCGGAATTGGAAACAGTTAGGGTGCATCACTCAGTTTTAAACTTTTGTCAGCATTGAAAATTCCTCCTACATTTTTCGTTTTACGTCTGACAAAAATACTGTTTTCTCCTTTTTCTTAGTTTACTTACAAAAGTATTTTCTGACATTTTTATTGCATTTTAATACTTTTAATGATAAATTTGAATCAATTTATAACACACATAATGTTACGTAAACTAACTTATAACCGATTTCATTAAACTTCGGAATTTCGATGCTTCTAAAATATTGATCGAAGGGACTAGAGGAATTAATTTTAGATGAGTGTTGTTTTAATATATTAATGCATGGTATTAGCAAGGTTGTAATGAACTTATTTTACGACATGTTTTAACAATTCTTCAAACTAAATTAAATAAAGTTATTTAAAATTTTATTTATTGCTATTTTTTTTCATGTTTTTTATAATTGTAGAAGCTTATTGGATATTTATAAAGAGTTAAAAATTATTTTATAAAGGCTTTTCTTTATTAAAATACTTAATTTTTTTTTAGTATTTGATAATTATTAATTTTCAGTGTGACTTAACATTTATGTTATTGACTCTTCCCGGTAAGGTATAATAATGGAAAATTGTGCATTTAATAATCATTTAATTTTTATTTAAAACTTTTTGGAAAAAAAAATTTTTTTGAAAAAAATTTTGAATTTCGTCATTTTGTTTCAAAAAAATTTTTTAATACTTAATGTATCTAACTTGGTTAATAATAACTTTGACATGGGCACTATATAGACGGCACGGCACAATAAGGACAGATTAATAAATTTCACTTATGCCCGAAGAGGGATTCAAACTTAGTCACAAATCACGTGATTTCATGACGAAATAATTCTCCAAATTAACGAAATACTGCTCAAGGATTGCTGAATCGTTAAAGGTGCGAATTTTATTTCTGAGAGTGCAAGGGCAACGAATTGAAAGGACACCTGGATTTGAAAAATAATCATAATGATAATCATAATAAAATCATAATGATAATAATAATAATAATCAAAAAAATAAGCTGAGGAATACAGAATGAGCGATACAATGAGATGTAATAAATGAGAATTAATTTTACTTGATAACAATATACAGGGTGTAAGAAGAAGTTAGGGTGTTATGCGATCGCGAGAAATGGAATATAGAAACAATCAATATTTTTTTTTAAAGTTCTCCAATGATGCGAAACCCGATCTCCCTCCCCAACCCAAGGGAGTGGTGTTGGGAGCAACATTGATATCTTAATATGTACCACTATTTTTTATTGCAGATTCAGATATTAAGAACAAAAAGTAACCCTATTTGACCTGTTTAAAAGGTGACCGTGATCGTAAAAAATAATAAATAAATAAAATTTCAAATGTTTCAATAATTTTTTTTTCCGAAAAAAGTTTAAGAAAAAATAGATACAAATTTTTGAAAACGATATTTTAAGAAAAACACTATTTTTTTTAAAAAAAATTTGCCTATTTTTATGTTCTTAGTCTAAGTTTCGAGATCGCCGTTTTAGACAGTTTATACCCTGTTTTAATTTTCTCGGTAACAGCGCCATCTGTAAAACAAAATGTATAAATTTTTTATGGGGTAACAAAAAGGGTAACTTTACAAAAAGGGTAACTTTTTTTGGAAAATCTGATTCTGTAATAATTTGATGTTTGGTATCATTGGATACTGTGGGGTTGGAAGATGTTTGGTATCATTGGATAGCCTTAGAGAAATATTGAATGCTTCTATTTTCATTTTACAATTAGATGAGTATTTCTCGGGATAATTGACTGTTTCCAAACTTTTCTTTACCGAGTATAACGATTATCTTTTATCATATTACAGTTCACATCGGATACAGTATTTATCTTTCTAAAATCATTATATTTTTAAAAATTTCCATGTAAATCTCAAGATTTATATCTGATAACAGATTTTCTTTCATTCTTTTTTTTTTTTGTTACTTTTGACAAGAATTCAAGAGCGGGCTTATAAAATAACAATAACGAGAGATACATTTTTCTATAACAATGAATTGATAATAATTATTTAAAGAAAAAAAATTTCAAAAATGCGCTTAAAATAGCAACAACTTCCAAAAAAATTTAAAATACAGAAATGGTCCATTCAGTACATTCTTTTTCAACTCTGCAATTCTTTTTCAGCGAGCACACAACAAAATATTTCAAATCAAAATACGGTAGTAAAAAGTACTAGCTCCCTGGGTGCATTATCAGTAGAAACTATTTTATTGTAAAAACCATTTTTACTGTAAAATTTTACTACATTATTAAATTAAATAAATAACTGAATTAATAAATTATTCTAACTACTATTTCAATGATAAATTTTCATAATATTGATAAATTATTAATATAATAAACTTAATTAATAAATTAATATTTTTTTCATCTAAATTTCAAAAGGTTATATATATTTAACTATCGTGATTCAGGGATTTTAAAGAAAGTACTACTGAAAATATTACGATATATCTGATTTTTTGTTCCGTAACATTTTACAGTGAAGATGAACTTAACGGTAAAATGTTCCGTCATCCTGTGAGCCGACATTTTTTACAATGCAGTTGCTTGGACAGCTTTATTTGTTTTACTACAAGTTTAACAGTTAATTCTTGAACTAATAATCAAATCTTAATTTTTCTTCATCCCCATCCTTGTCCCCTGTACATTTTTTTTACACACTTCAGTTATTATAAGTTTCCAAGTCTTATAGTTTTCGCACAGCAAAATGAAATGTAACGGTAAAATTGAACTTCCAAAAAGGCAGACGACCCTAACGAGTTTTTAATATAGATGAATCCAGAACAATGGTGATCTATATTCGTCATGTGACAGGAAGGGGATGATAAATTTTTTTAATTGTTATTATCACTGATACAATAAAAAGCATGTATACATTTTGGCAGTCATTGTTTACAATGACTGCCAAAATTTTTTAAAACTCAACCGTCTTTAATTTCACTACATTTTTATTTCTTATTCATTTCCGACATCGGATAAAACATGGCAGATTTCACCACTGCTATATTTTTAATAAAGTTTAAGAACACTTATCCGTCATCTGGGAACCAGACCGATTTTTTTATATATATATACCATTTAGCCGTATAATTTCTTACGGAAGAATGGCACGAATTGTTCAAAATTATAACTTTGCCTCGGAAGTGCAGCACTTAAACTGTGGCTATTTTTATTTTTCTTGGCAAAAGAGCTAAGAAAAACACTCTTTATGAAGAATTCCATTCTTAAGGAAAAGCTGAATGCATGTCTCTTCGTATGTAAACAGTTGCAGAAATGTTAAGTACAGTGCAGAAAAAAAAAACGGAGCAGGCTTTTTAGCTTTCGATCTAACTATCGAATCTTCCACGCACTAGGACTCAATCTTAATGATCCAAAGGATCGACCTTAAATATGCTAATTAGTTAGAGTAAGCGATATCTAAAGATACGCTAATATTCCCTAATGCTTGATCTAGGAATCCTCTTGTCTTCTGAGATTGAGTTTAAAATTACAAGGCTAGGGAAATAAACGTTGATAGTCGTAAATCCAAAAATAGATAAACTATTCAACGCCTGTTATAAAGCAAAATGAAATAAAATACATTTTTAGAACGTTGCACACCATTTTGACGAACTATCACTGAAATTACTATAGATTAGTCTGAACATGGGGCCTTAATTTCTTATATTTTTTGCAATTTTCATAATTATTTTTGAAAAATTACATCTACCGGAACTCACATTTGAGCCAACGAGAGTGTTCATTTTATGTCAAGCAAAAAGTTTGTCGATTTTATATTACCCTATCATATTATCCACTTCTATCTAGAATCAAAGCCCGTAAAAACATTAATTTCGCATTTCAATAAAGTAAATTTCGTTAACTATATTTGTAGCTGACATTACCAATATAAAGCTAGTTTAGGAACAAAAAAGTAATTTGCTTCAAAAATCATTCATTAGAGTTTCTCTTTGATTTATAAATTTATACCATTTTTAAACTGCACCACAGACCACAATATATGATATAGAGCATTTATTAATTACATTTCTTGATTATTTAGAACAATTTTGCGGATATAGCCAAGCTTCTGTCTGATTTCTTTCGGGACCTGGATGTTGTTCCATCAGACGTTGTTGCTGGTTTGGTGCTGTTACGAAAACTTCAACGACTGGAAAGACAAAACATTGTTACTAAAGTAAGTTTCAGATTTTGCTTCATATGCTTTTCACCGTTACGATATGAATATTTAATTCTTCATCATAGCGGGCTGACAAACATCAAAATAACATTATAAGAAACCGACGACAAGTACTAAAATCATTCTGCGGAATATAAATTTCTATGGCCTGCTATCGCTGGGTTGTTACCTGTACGAATAACTGAAAACATGTTCTGCCCCAAAACACAGTCACAATTGTATATATATAGTTGGACTTTCATTTGACGAACTTGTTTTCTCTACTTCGCATTTATTTCGAGGAACAGAGAACATTTTGGAAATTTCTTCATAAAATAACTTCCAAATAGCGAAGTAAATTTTCTATTTAACCAACTTTTCTCTTTGAACTTTTCTTTCTTCTATTTAACGAACTTTTCTTTTCTATTTATCGAACTTTTTTTACACGAAAGTGGATCACTTTCCCTATTTCCCAAAATATTTCAGAATATTTCAAACTTGTTAACACATTTTTTTATGGGGAAAATGACCTTGAATTGATTTTCGCAGCCACTTAACTTTTAGAGAAAGCAGTAAAATCCCTTTACCTTTTTGTTTGCATCAAAAATCAATTTACGAGAAAACATAACGGAAATTTCTAAAGCATAAAACTGTGATGTTCGTACTATTCTTAACAGTTTCTCTAAAGCTGGATTCTTAGTCAGAGTGGAGAATTTGGAAAGTGCGGTGGGCAAGGATGATATTCCGTTAAAAGAACTTTAAAAAAATGTGTCAACAGCTAAGAGAGAACCACAAAATTAATGATGATGTACTGATTAATAGTTTTATTTTAATTGAATTTCTTTTTATTGATTCTGAAGCTGCAACCATAGAAACAAGAACTGAATCGGATATTTTGGACAGTATACAAAATAGAAACAATACAGCAATAAATTGTAAGGAAGACGAAGAAGATGAAGACAGAAATTATGAAGAAATTACCAAACTTTCCTATCGTGAAATGTTAAAACCATTTGAAACAGTTCGAAACTGGATAATAATTTACAAGATAAAGATGTATCAATTGCTATTTTAATTATGTCTCGTGTTTATGAACTGAAAACCTGTTTTGTGTTGTTAAAGTATTTCAAAAGGTGATTTTCTATTTAACGAATTTTCCGTNTTTCGATACATTCTGAAACTTACGTTCGCAAATTCACCATAAAATGTCGCACAGCATATTCTTCAATTACGATAAGCTACATTTACCACCAAATACTGCTACTATGATTATTTTTGTTTCTGTTTTGTGTGTATATATATATATATATATATATATAAAACATGGTTCGTCGCTTCACTGTAAACAGGCTGTTTCAATTTTCCCCTCATTCACGTCTGGCGAGTCTAGGGAATGGGTGTCTATTTCTGACTTGCAACATGTCGGATTTTTTACCAACAAGAAGACAAACTCAATGGAAAATTTGAGGGTAGTAGATCTAGATTAACCTCACAGCTAAAACATCTTTGTAATAAAAGTTATTGGAAATTATATGATGACGTTTTCAAAATCTCCATCGTCCAATGAAACCAGCGACTGATGTGCAAAAATTATTAGCTTCAATTAGTCAACCTACATCCTTTCAGTGATCTCACTAGTAGAATTTACACAGATTCAAATCAGGTGGATACAGTCGTTAATTCACAATCAGCACGTCTTGTATACAATAGCATCGTGCTGTAGCGCTATCTGTAAACAAAACTTTGCAGAAAAAGTCAAAAAGAATGAAGGCAAACTCCTCACTTTGCCCCTGCCACCGTTTTCTTGTTACCCTACTTTAAAATCCATTTTATGGAACACCGTGCAAAATGAAATATTTGCATTGCACGAAAGAAAGTAGCATAAAATATTATTAATTTTATATTTAATTAATATCATACCAGCATTTTAAGTGTGTTGCACGTTTTTCATAATTAAAGAACTTAATAAAAAAAACGATTCTAAGTAACATTTTCGTGAAACATCGCAACAATAGAAAGCTGTTTGCAAAACACATTTTCCAATTAAAAATTACCTCACGTGATGACAAGGCAGAAAAAAAAGTTTCCAACAAAAGCTAAGCATGTAAAAATTTTAAAGTCAAAATTAAGTGTGTTTTTAAAAAGAGAGAAAAAAGAGGAAAATAAAAATAAAAAAACACTTTCTACCTTCTCTCATTAAACTTTTTAAATAATATATGTGCCAATTATCAATGCTAATGCGGAAATGCTTATCATCTTTTTATCAATAAAGAAACAAGACATTTAAGAAATACCATGAACGCTAATTGTAATCTTCCTCTTAAAACAAACAACAGTTACAATTTCAACAAACAATTATCTCAAAATAGTAAAAAGACTAATATTTTACGTTTCATGGTTGTGTATTTAACTTCAAATGGGTTGATTAATTCATATTTCAAACATTAATAAATTAAGAAACATAAATTAAAAATCTTAGTTTTTAATTAATTTCTATTTTTCATTAGGTAAATAAAGATAAAAATGATGGTTTAATTTTGTAAACCATTTAACACAAAACAAAGGATGGAAATTTAATTATATTTAAGCAAAAAAATGAAACGTTTTATTTCCAATATTATCCTTGTAATTTATAGTCTCATGATGATACATATCAATTCTTATCCGGAGTTCCAACAACATTAATAAATTGAGAAACCTAAATTAAAAATTTTATTTTTTATTAATTTTTATTTTTCATTAGGTAAATAATGATAAAAATGATAGTTTAAATTTTTAAACCATTTAACACAAAACAAAGATAGAAATTGAATTATATTTAAGCAAAATTATGAAGCATTTTATTTTTAATATTATCTTTGTAATTTACAGTCTGACGATGATACATATCAATTCTTATCCGGAGTTCCAATCACGCCATCGACAAGATTTCTTGACATTACGCATCCAGTAAGTATATTTTTTATAATTAAATACAAATCATTTCAAAAGATTTTCAAAATGAAATTATGTAAACGTTTTTTTAAAATTAATTATACATTTTGCATAAATAGATTTCTGCAACATAAAAGAATATATTGCATTTCATTTAATGTAATTTATGTTACAAGGGAGGTGGTGTAGAAATTGGGAAAAATATCATCATTAAGAATAATTTTGATGTTTTCATAATACACTAAATTAATCCACGTTAACATCACACAATATAACGTAACATAACGTAAGTGTAGCAAACATTTATAAAACAGAGAAAGAACATTCTACATTGAAGGAATATGCACGATGTTCAGTAATTACCACCCTTAATATTAATGTATTAATATAATACTTAATGACTTAGTTCATGTTAAAAATTACGTTTTTAAAATATGCACTTTAAGACTTAAAAACTAATAAAAGTGTCAGAAAAAGTAGTCAAACTCTTCATGCATTACTGCAAGAGAGGCTGGAGGAAAAGTTTCAAAATTACTTTAATTGTACGGTGAAACTTAGGGGTGTTTATAGTAATCGCCTTTCAACTCTTCTCTGTTTCATTTGGCAATCAAATAGGTTTCAATATTTTCAGTCCAACGTTCGTCAGAAATGCAGAAATAGCTAACAGCTTAAGCTGTTTCTGTTTATTGTATAAAAAAAATTGAGTGCTGTTTTCGCAAAAATGGGCATTAATTAATGACTTTTTCATAACATAAACACTGAACTTTCATAACATAAACAAGTGAACTTTCTTCCTTTTATATCTTTTCATTACTACTTTTATTTTGTTCAATACAATAAGTACAATTCCCTGCGGAGACACCAGAGAGCCATAATCTCAAGAAGTTTTTTCTCCTTTAAAATTTACAGAAGGAAAGTACTTGTTTGCTTTTATTTATTTATTTATTTTGATATGCTAAATGCATTTTTAAGAATGCATCTTTTCCACGGATGTTCTAATAATTTTATATCTTAATAATTTTATTTTTTAGTATTTTGCTCTCCAACTCGAAATTTTAAAAATATTTCAACCTCTGCAAATTAAAATAAAATTTACAAGCATTTTTTTAAAAATAATTTTTCAGGTAATTTCGCTTTTAATATTAGTAAACAAAATACTATTGAAAAAAGCGATTTTTATGTTTTTATTTTAATTTTTTTTTTAAATTTCTAGCATTGAAATAAAATATTTATATTCAACCTTTTAATCTCGATAGTTTTTATTTGGACATGCGATAGAAATTGCAATGTATAAAAGTGTTTATATGTCATTCTTTAGTCGCAAACGAACCAGTGGTGTAATAATGCAGCACATATTTTTTTCATGCACTCATATATTCTAATGTTTGTCCTTAAGAAAATTTGCGTTATTGAAACTTCAAATAGAACATACTATAGATTTGAAACAAATATTCATAAATTAATAAAACAACTTAGAACTTATTATAAATAAAACAATCGAATAAAAAATCAATTATATTTACTAACACATAATGAGTTGTCAGTTATGACGTGATTGTTTCGCTTGTCTGTTGTATAGGGCCATTGTTTTCTAATAATGTTACGTTAAAGTATTCTTCGGACCAAGATTGATTTATAAAAAAAAAATTATTAAGATTATTGCCTGAAATTAATTATGTTAAGACTATTTTTTTGAAAAAAGGTGGGTGAGATTTTCAAAATTGTGTCTACAAAGAATTATCCTTAAATTTGAACACCAGTCTTTATAAATAAGAGAATTTATAAATTCTGTCTTTATATAACGACAAATGATAAAATGAATGACTGCATAACATACAAAAAGAATAACTCCTTAGTGACGGACTCTCTTCTTGACCCATGCGAACCTTTACTGTTTCCCACATTTGTATAAAAAAAAAATTTTTTTTACAATTATCAGTAGACGGCTGAACAAATCCCAGGTGGGAAAATAGCTTCCCATCAGCATTTAAAAATTAATTGGTTGGAATCATATTTCTTATGGCCTTACAAAGGGATAACAGAAAATATAAAATTTTAAATTATATGAATTCTTTAAGCTTTATACGGCAAACAACGAATTGACCAAGAATTTTTTTAAATACATTCAATGCTTGTGAATTGAAAGATTATGTGACGCTGACAAAAATGGCGCCGCTCTTATATTATCCAGGCTTCTATTTAAGGGTCTATTTACCAGTATGGGATTTTAAAAAGTCTTTCAACTAAGTCTCCCAACCAATTAAGCTTCGTCACAAACGTATTGAAAAGAAATTTAAAGATTTCTCGTATTTAAATACTAGTTGTAATAAAGATTTCGTTTATTAGTTATATTATTATTTAAATTATCAAACTCATTCTTATACGAGTATAAACTTCCATTGTTATTTACATAATTCTTTTCCGTACAGTACCCTTTAATAAACTATTTGTTTATCCACTGATTTCCCTCATTTTAAAAGTTCAAACTTTTGAGTTGCGCTACTCAACATTGAATATAAAATTAAGTAATTCCTATTCTGGCCACAATGATAAAAAAAATTACATTTAAGCTAAATCCTTGGATCATTCCATGGTCCAAGATCCATCTTTAGCCATTCTGGCCGCTATCTGTTTGGTTTGAAGCAAAAGACGTCCTCTGGTTAATCTTAAGCATACTGGCAACAAATAAGATCATAAGAACTTTTTTACCTTGATATATATCTGGTTCCAAATTTTAAAAAAAGAGCAGAAAATAATTTTTTTTAATATTTTTTCTCTTTCCTCACTATAGGGTACTGCAGACCATATTTTGACCATAACTCATTATTTCCACTACGCTTTAGCAGTCTATGGATGGCCTATGTTTATGATGGTTCAAAGCAAAACTGCATGTTGCCAATTATTTCCTAATTTAAGGTGAGTTTATCTAGACCTTAAAGAAAAGAATTTTTTTTAATTTCATTAGCTCCATTTTTGTGAAGATTTTCATTGTTTGTTTACAATTTAAATTAAAAAATAAAAAACTCGCTGAAGGATTTGTAATTAAAAAGAAAAGATGTAATTTGTTATTGTCAAACTCCATATGAGTCCATTTTCTCCTTTATAGATGCTACTGTTCGGCTCCCGGAGAAAAAAAGTACGATGCTGCAACCGTTGTGGAAGATAACTGCTGTTTCTGTAACTATGCAGCCCTGAAAAGACTCTGCAAAACGCATAACATGGAAGTCATATTTGCAACCTATCACGTCGAAGTGAGTACACCACTTTAAATACCGATTATTGTTTACAACTTAAATTGAAAAAAAACTCCCTTAAGGATTTGTAACTCTCTTAAGGATTGCATATTTTCCTAACATTAAACTCTATTTGAGTCCTTTTCTCCATAGCATGGAAGTCATATTTGCAACCAATCACGTCGAAGTGAGTACACCACTTTAAATACCGATTATTGTTTACAATTTAAATTTTTTATTTAATTTTTTAAATTGACTTTTTTAATTGATTTATTTAAATAACAAACTTAAGGAAAACAGAAATAAAAAGTAAAATTAAGTTTTTAGTTAAGGATTATTGGGATTCATTTAGTAGGTTAGTTATCAAATCTAATCGCTTACCTGCATTGTTATTTGCGTTTTTGGGTAGTTTGCTACACTATCTCTTTCTGAGCGATTGCAAAATATTTTTATTTGTTCGAAATAAAGGAATGCCTAGTGTCAGTCGCCAAATGCAGAGATTGGATTAAACTACTCAAATGTTTTATTTCTCGTTAAATGTCATGTGCCTCACCATTGAAATTTGCGTGTGATGTATGACAAGCAAAAAGTAACCACACTTCGAAAACAACCCAATCTTTTGAATTCCAGGAGTCGCCTTTATCCAATAAACATAACTCAGTACTACACAGACTAACAGTTTTGGGGTTCTGTCCTAGCCTTCACAATATAATTTACATAAAATTGTTTAAAAGCTGTTTTCACTCAGCCATAAACAAAACCTAGTTTTTTTAGAGCTTGATCTCATAAAGCGTATAGCAAATGCGCTGTACAATTTTGTTCGATGAAGTAGTCATTGCCTAAGTAAGGAATAATATCTCTTCAATGATTAGCTCAAGGAGAATTTTAAACCACAAATAATTTCACATGAATTTCATGGCGGGTATACACCGGATCATTAGTCGGCCCTCAGTATCAAACTCAAGAACTTCCCCAATATTTAAACTTATGTGAGCTTCGCTTCAACCAACTAACAACGATCGACTGAGATGAATAACAATTATACGTATTCCAACGCAGTCTTTACAGGTAAAATGTTTAGTCTGGTACAGCAATTCAAATGTATGAATATTTTTTTTAGTATCTGCATTGGGTACCTTTTCAGTCTTCTGTTTAGTTTATGCTAATTATTCAATGGCAATAACAGCTCATACAAAATAACAATCACCTCTTCAAAGTAATTGTCTATTTATCGACTTAGGAAAAGGTTACTATCATTAGGCCAGCTCAGTTATTTTGTAGTTATTGACAACCTCTCTGTTGGCTGTCTAGTATACTTAATGAAGTTTGTTAATCAAAATTTTGACATCGAGTTAATTCACGTCCAATCAAATGTCCTATACAAAATGTATGAATTTCATACTTTTTTATCAATATAGTAGGACATTAATTGTGTTTTGTTTCTTACTGGCCACATTTAAAACTGTGTTAAGTAAACGTCATTTAGCCATATTAGCGATGACAATAGACTTTGTCATAACGAAATGTACTTGTAACATGCAGAAAGATAGTTACTTTGCTTTCAATGAGCTAATCTAAGTTAAGAAGTGTATGTATGTATTTATTCAAAGCAACCTTCCAATACTATTTTTAGGATATTATTTTGAATTTTACCGTATTAAGCAAATTACTTTTATTTTTTTTTTAGTTTAGTAAAGGTTTGTTGAATATTTTCTACTAGTTTCTTTTTCAATTGTTAATTTGTGACTATTTGTGTTAATTTGTAAATTTGTGACTGTAGTTCAATTGTTAATTAAGTGACGGTGACCATTTTCTCTCATCATTTTCCTGTTTCCAATTGAATTTATTTTTGAATATTTAAATAGGATGACAAGCATATTTATTCATCTTGAATGAATATTTTACAATATCATTTGTGTAACGGATAAAGTTTTAACTTGATTGAATAATTTATTATTGCATCTTTGTTTTCAAATAGATCGGAGAAACACCATTCTTTGTTGCTTTGGATCATGAAAAACGAACTGTTGTCATTTCTATAAGAGGAACTTTATCACTACAAGTGAGCTTTTATGTACAATATAAATGATTGAATTTATTTATTTTACATACAATATATTTTAAATATAAAGATACATACATTAACCAGCGTTCAAGTAAGATGAATAAGCCAAATTTAAAAAAAATTTATCTCAATTGAATGTTTCTGTATTTTGAAACATACATATAAGTTAGCATTCTATTTCTAAGGATTAAAAAAATTGAGTTAAGAAAATTACTCTCACAAGTTAATAACAGCATTTTTAAAGTTTGAAATTTGTTTTTTTTATATCCGTCGTTGAACAGCTGACCCAATTTTGGGTTTACGACTATTAATGTTCAACTCCGTAGCCTTGTAATTTTGAACCAATCCAGAAGACAAGGAAACTCCTGGATCAGTACCCCCAGAGGTATTGATTTGTTATGAGAACATGGAGGACTTCGCTACTCGACAGATTTAACGTGCATCAGTCACCATTTACTACACGGGAAGTCTTCGGCCGGCCTGGGATTGAACCCACGAACTCTTGGGCATAGGCCCAGTGCCCTACCAACCAGGCTATCTCGGCCCCAAATTTGAAAATTTGAGTTTTATAGTACTTGTATTTTGAAAGTAATCGCACCGTACATTTCAGAAATTCTCCATACAGTTGGTATAATTAACCGCCAAGGCGGTGCGGTGGGTTTATCCTTTGCCTTCTACTGCTTGGAATGGGATTCGATTTCCTGTTTAGTACAGGAAATCGAATGTCTGATCAGACGGAATGCCTGATCAGACTGCACTTTCTCTGATCTTGTCTTAGTTATTTGAGACTTACTCTATGTAATAAGCTGGAAAATTCCATAACGATTTGATGGTTGGGTTTTGTGGTACGATAACTGGGTGATTATTGTTACCTTCTACCCTTTGATATAAAATGTGATAGCGTGTGACGCGTCTGTACTAGTATTGTCTTCGTTTCCTCATTAAGGGTGAATCCCTAACCATCAGTAATAGCTTATTAGTGTAGACAAAGTTAAAGTCAAACCAAAAACAATCAGAAATTAAATATCTTGAAACTAAAATACAGATTGCACTATTAAAAAACAAAAGCATAGGTGTGTTGTCTGTTATAAACTTGTCAAATTTTCATAATACTTTGAACATTATTTATAGAATTAATTATGTTAATTAGTTTCGTCTTAATTAGCTTAGTTAATATTTTAGTTAATTAGTTTTTAGTCACTCCAAAGTAGCTAGAAAATCGTCATAAAGTTTCATCAAAAGCAATCATTTGTCCATGGTTGGCTAAATGCAAACGTGCCGCTTAAACACCTATAATGCTGAGCGCATGGGACATTCATGTATGAATTTAAATGAGCAAGAAAAAATCCTCAAAATTGTATTACACACGTACAGTGAAGTTAAAGGAAAAAATTATCACCTTAAAGATTAAGAAAATCTGCGTGCACAATACTTTACAAGGATATTTGAACTGAAAACTGTTTTATAAAATGATTTCTCGTTTACTCACGGGATTCAGACTCAATAGTTACGATAGCAAAACTACACGAATTGAAATCCCAGTTAAACCCCCACCCACCGTATTCTCCAGATATGGCCCCTAGAGACTATTGCTTGTTTGCAAGTCTCAAAAGGATTCCTTTGGAGAAGATATTTGACACATGGGAAACTGAAATGTTTTTGTGATCTCGACTATTGCTCAATAAATAAAGTATTTAAATGTTAAAGAACTTTTAGAAAACATGTATCAATCTTATAAAAGGTTATGCTGATAAATAAAGTCAAATTTATTTTGCATGTTTTTTTAGCTAGTCTCGTGACTTTTTAACCTATATGTCATTAGTCTACAGAGCTAAGCTAACATATAAGAAATGAAACTATGTAGCAGGTTGCAAGGCTGGAGGTTATGTCACAACCATCTCGTTACAAACTGTAATAAACCAGGCTTCCAGAACTTACTTATGCACCAATTCCAAAAAAGATGTCCATAAGACTTTATAAGCCATAAGGCAGAAACAGATTTAAACCGACTTATTTAACAATAGCAAGCATAACAAAACAAAATTGAAAATGCAAATAGCAATCAAATTACATTCATACATTCTTAAATTCCCATAAATTAAGAATGCAGCGAAAAAAGAGAAACATGAAAATAAAAGAGTAAGAATATCGTTGATCTTAAATATCAGTGAAGGATATCCTAAGCAGGCGCACCTTCTCGGGAATTTCATTTAAATTAATATTTAAAATTATATGATTTAAAATAAGGCAAAAATGCGTTTACCATACAATTCAGAAAATGTTTGACATTATTAAATTAGGTAATGTAACATATCAAATAATCTTTCAAAAATTATTTTGCAGGAAATTATCTTTAGTTGGACAAGTTTTGCTATTTTGTGCAATGTAGCAGTATTGTATATGCCTTTATTAGTGCTAGAGACATGAGGAGAAAAGCAAAAAAAGTTAAACTATCAAGGATGTCTCTTAACTTTAACCACCCTCTTGGAGGATCAAAAATCCAAATCTGAAGATAAATATGAATTCAGAAAAAGTAATTTATATTTCTGAAATCGTAGTTTAAAATGTTTCCTGGACAAATTTAGTCTCTTTGAAGTTAATCGTTCGAAGCATTAAATTTGCGTTTTCAGTAGGAAAAAAATCTGATCATTAAATGAAAAGTTGTTAAGATCTTCCCTTATTTATTTGAGCATATTAATTTTATGCTATGTATATTATGTACTATGATTAACATTGTTCTTTTTTAGGATGTCATCACTGATTTGAATGCGGAAGCAGATCAATTACCAACTGATCCACGTCACGATGACTGGTTAGGGCATAAGGTAAATAAATAAAATATTAACAATGTGCCTTTTGCATTTGACCATATACAAAAGTATTTTGTATACGCTGCCCTTAATATACGGCAGGTAGTCCAAAAATAAGTTTCTTCTCTAGTCTTCTCCAGGGGACTCAACAGTGATGGAGAAAACAAGACAGCGGTTAAATATGAAAACCATAAAATATTAGGCATCATTTCATTTGAGAGTGATCAAGCAGATGGCGCTGTCTCAGTGTATGCGAAAAGTGAAAATGAAACTCTCAATGGTCCCGGAGTTTTGCTATTAGACTAGCACTATTTGGAGGTTGGAACCAACAGTGCTACAGAGTGCTGTTATACCCTGTCTCAATTGAAGGAGGTTATTTCAAAAAATAAGCCTGGACTTCTCAAATTTACTTTTTTTATATAGCAATGCAAGAAACCAAACTCGGCAATCTTGTTGTAAGCACTTTGATCATCCGTCATATTCTCAGTTACGTCTTATCTGTAGGATCTCATTTTTTTTTCTGAAAAAATATCATTAGATTTCGTAAATTAATATTTAACGAAGGTAAAACAATAAAAATTTCCCGTGGGATTAAGGAAAAAGACGAAATTAAAAAAAAATAATGAAACCAGTTTGATTGCTGAAAAAAACGTGGCGTTTCTATTAAGAACCTTTAACATCTTCTCAGTTTCCTCGGAAAATCAAACAGAATTTGATGTTTTCAGTATCGTCTTCTTGCGATTCGTCAGACTTTCTAAAATCTTTTTTTTCGCTTTCTTATATGCATAATTTTACACTTCAATTTTTTGCAAGGAATCTAAAAATATGTTTATTGGTGTGAATACGGATCATACTGTTTATGTTTAGATGTATACGGTCGTAAGTTTTCGATGCATTTTTTATAGTTTCTTTTTATATCTTTGTTACAGGGTATGATCCAGGCGGCAGAATACATCCGGCAAAAACTTATTGATGAGAAAATTCTTATGCAAGCATTCCAACACTCCCCAGTAAGAACACTTCTTGAAAAGGCTTTTAAAAATATTCTTTTAAATATCTTTTTATCTAAAAAATATCTTTTTATCTTCATCATTAAGAAGGAGATTAATGAGAAGGAAGCTAAAAAAACTCTCATGTTGCTCCTTTGCGATTAAATCCGTTTTTTTTTTTAATAAGTTACTGAATGCATTAGCATTGAAAAAAATGTATGCTACTAAACTGAAAGTTAAAGAAAGTTATAGGATAATCCAATGGTTTTGTTCATTAATTACAGATTTATCAAAAAGAAAATATTTTTTAAATATGTATTTATCTATGCTTGAAATATTTTAGTACCAATTATGAATAAACATAATTTTATACATACTCATAAACAAAACCTTCATGGAATCATAATTTCTAATATTCCCTCCATCGTGGAATCACTCTTCAAGTTTTAAACAATAAATTCGAGTTAAAACATTTGTAAGTAGATTTGAGGTTTATCAGAATCTTTTTAAAATATGAAGTTTTACGACTGAGATCTTGGAACCCTATATAAGATAATTGAGATCTGTTAGATCCTAATTCATTGAGGCACTGTTAGATCCTAATTCATTTTTATGAATAGACTGGGCTGATTGGAAAATACCAAACAATTTCGAACCAAAGATATTCAGTAGATGGAGTGGCCAGGAAGAGTTCCAAACCTGAATCCCGTTTATCATATCTGGGATGTTCCTGGAAAAACCATTGCAGCTCATCATTCCCTTACTTAAAACCTACCAGAATTTAATAAGAAACTGTCTTAAGTGAGTAGCAAGATATACTTTCCCAAAACTTTGATCAATTTCATTGACACCATGATTGTTCGATCGTTTTGAGATCTGCATTACCGTCAGAGAGTCACCCTCTGGCGGTAATGCCCAGGAAGGCTTATAGAGAGTTATAGATTACACCGAAACCAAGAGCTGTTTGTACCCTCGGAAAAAAAGAAACTGGCTGGAAAACCATTTCATTTCTAGATTTCTTAAAAAAGTAATGTTTTTGCTGATTTTAATTATGAACTTTCCATTGCTGTTTACTTTATCCCAGGTAAGAAACAGTCCTGTGTATGAGTATATGTCTTGCTCGTAATAATTCGAGATAGTTAGGGACATTTTACTCTGCCCAAAGAAAAAAAAATAGATATCTATAGGTTTTATTACCAGTAAATTCAATTTTCCAGAGTATAAACAATGCTGCGAATCTTCAACAAGTGCAATTTTGCAAGATAATTTTTGACTATCTTGCTGTGATTCCCTTAATTAAAGATCTTGAGTTCGTACCATTACCTTTTTATTATCACCATTTTGTTATACTTTGATAATTTTCGTATAAGTTTTCAACACTTGAGTTGCTCCAAAAAATGAGTTCGTTCCTTAACGTTTGAACATAAATGTAGTTCAGCTTCTTCAATTCGAAATTTCCATTATTATGCGTTACTATTTATTTCATTTTTCAATGAAGTTGATTTAGGAATAACTTTAGGATTTAGAAATGCATTTTTGTTCATATTTAGGAAAGAGGAACAACCACTTACGGCTTGGTTCTTGTTGGACATTCTTTGGGAGCGGGAGCTGCTTCGATACTTGCAATACTACTCAGGGATCAGCATCCAAATCTAGTCTGTTACGCCTATTCTCCACCTGGTGGCCTACTTAGGTCTGTATTAACGTTAAGGAGTTACTATAAAACAAAATACATACTTATATGAAAAAAAAGCAAATTAAATACGTAAGTTGGATTCTAAAATGAAATATTTAAAAAGTATTGAAATAACTCGTACAAATTGCTAGCGAAATCAAAAACGAACCACCCATAATAACTTTTGATCTAATAATGATCGGAGCTTGAACGATATAGAATTCAATTTAATTGTTAGAAGGAATGACTTCAAATATACTAATTACTTAGTGTAGACGATATTTTAAGTTACGAAATCAGAAGAAAACGTACTTTTACTGACTCAACATACCTTTTTTTCGACGCATTCAGATTTCTGACCCTCAAAATCTATCTGGGAAATATGGTCCCCATAGTTTGTTCAGGAGAGAGCTCCCAAGTTTGGACCCCTTCATGTTAATTTTACTTTTTGCGCATTTCACCATATCTCAAGAATTTTTAAGGCAATGAAAAAATTTTGCTCATAATTATAAAATTCATTCATCCAAAGATAATTCCATGCAAAATATTGCTAAAAGCAAATATTTATTATTTCCTTTAATATTTTTTTATAAAAAAACTGCTTTTTAATAATTTTTGGATTGTGAAGTATACAGTTTTTTAAAGAATGCAACTCTAATTGGCAAAATACAAAATTTAAGCGAATTCTGTCATGAAAACTCGAATTTTGAAAAAGTCTTATTTTTAAAATTCGACTTATCTGGAGCTATTTGACCAATTTCACTCAAATTTTGCATTTTACCTTTTAAAGTAGCATTATTTAGAATTATTTAAAGAATTTTTGCAATTCAAAATTTTTTCGACTATTAATAAATAATATAATTAAAAATTATCAATTTTTATTGAAAGTTATATTTTCCATGGAATTATTTTTGAATAAATGAATTGTATAATTGTGTGCAAAAATTTTTTTATTCGCTCTAAAAAGTTTTCAAGCTATGGCAAAATAGGCAAAAAAGTAAAACTAACATTAATGGATCCAAACTTTGGACCGCTGTCCTGACCAAACTATTGGGACCATATTTCCCATACTTCTGGGGTCATAAATTCGAATCTGTCGAAGAAAATGTATATTCATTCAGAAAAGTACGTTTTTGTGTCTGATTTCGTAACTTAAAATAGCGTCTGCAATAATTAATTAACATATTTGAGGTCACTTCCTCGAACTATTAAAATTAAGTCCTAGAACGTAAAGTTCCAATCATTAGATCAAAAGTTATTTAGAGTGGTCCATTTATTTTTTTCACACTGTAATATTTTAAAGTTTTTCAAATCATTGAAGCATTTTGGAGAGAATTGAGTGACAGATATCAATAATTTTTACAGAATATTTGAACACGATTAAAATTGATTTTCTAAAGTTTATTTCTTAAAATAATGCTTCAAAATCAAATGATTTTTTACAGAAATTACACACAATTTTGTTGATTTCTTAAAATATCAATGACCTGAAAAAATCGAGCTTATTGTTTGCTGCATGGTATCAGAATTCACAAAGTCAATCAACAGCGCACACAGTTATAGAGATTATTATTGTAAGAATTAGATCGGGAAAAAATTGCCCGTTTAAGGCAAATAAGAGTATATTGTGAAAAATTTATGTTAATTCATATTAGGGGGACGGAAATGTAATGTCGTTTCGATGCATTTGATATTTGTTATCAAGATTTTATTTTTAATCGATAATGTATTCACCTTCGTTAGCAACAACCTTTCAATGCCGGATCGAAAATGAATCGAGGAAAAAAAATGAATTGGTTTTTAAGATTAACGAGTATTTAATGCGCCGAAACGACATTACTTTCCGGTCCCCCTAATACAATAATGCTTTTGAAGAATGAAATAAATCCTCATTCAGCTTGTAACCAAAAAAACAGAGCTTTTTTAAAGATTTTTCTTTCTTTTACTAAAATTTCAGTAATTTCAGAAAATCAATTTCAATTTATATATCTGAGGATTAACACACTAATTTTATTAACGCAAGTTAGAAATAGTTGACTCTTCATCTCTCATTATCTCTTTACACTTTTTTCATTCTTTAAAAAAGAAAACGAATCTGAGATGAAAGAAACTACGCAGATGCTGTGATAATCTGCAGCACCTCTTCCGCGTTGTAGAGTTTCTGCTACCAGGGCTGTAATCATGGAACATTAATTTGCTTTACTAAGTCTTTAAGTTAGACGGTCTTAAAAGAATAATTTGAAATCAGTTTTCTTATGCATCGCTTACGATTTAATGCAGTTAATTTAATTTTCACTAAACTGCCCCTTAACTTAATGTTTAACTAAATAGAAAATGTAACATTTTAAGTTATGTGTTATTTATGTCGAATAAACCTTATCTATTAACCTTATCTATGTTAACAGACAGTGTGTTCCCTGATGAAGTGCTGTTTTTGCTAACATACTTATCTTTAAAATTTCGGTTTGATTGTTTTTGGTTTCTAACTTTTTATTTAAATTGTTTACATGAGACAAATTTGATTTTAGCTGCTTTTAGCGTTTTCCATTTTGACTTATTATTTTAATGTATTTTCTTGAAGAATTTTTCTTAATATTTGCTTAAATCAATTTCATACTTTGATTAGAATTCTAGAGATTTGAAACATTTTTGAAATATGCAGTTCCAAACTAGGCAGGGCAATTGGTGTTGAAAAGGGTTAAAACATAGATATTATGATTTATTTTAATGTCGCTTTCCTTAATGATGAAATAAAGCAAAATATAAAATGATATTTGGTAGTTTATTTCTGAATTTTATTTGAATAGTAAAAACAATACTATTAAAATTGTAATCCATTCACAAATCGAAGAAAACGGATTAATGTACGTCCTATATCCCTGCAGTTGAAATTGCCAATCTCATTAGGCCTATTGTTTTCACTTATTTAAGCTGTCATATTTGATAATCAAACTCACTGTTTTTCTCCTCTTTTAACGCTTAACAAATTATACCAAGCTATCTCGAGTTCTTATACTTTGCAATTAATTATTGACCGGAGGAAAATCGGGTGTAGCAACAATTGCCAGTATAATCTGTTACTGGTTTTTACTGGGCGGAGCAAATTACTTCTGCTTTGATTTCAATTTTTAAGTTTGCCATGTTTTGTTTAATATTTTTGGTAATAGATTACAAAACTTTACAAGTGTTTAGCAAATTTAAGTCAAAAGGAAAATTTTTGTAAATATCAGATTTTAATCAAACATAACCTTTGCAACTGTATCTGTAGGTTGTAAATTCTAAATAAATAACTATACTTCAGCTCTATGTTGCTTAAAGAATAATAGTTTAACACCTTGACTGCTGTACGCGCTTACAGTGAAATCTCCATCACGCCACGAGTGCCGCTGTGCGCAGCGTATTCTGCTGAGTACTCCCACCGATGTTTTAATAATGCGAGTCTCTGTTGTTCACAAGAATAATATCTCGCTCTGTTTGTTTCCATGGTATCATGTCTGTTTATTTGTGTCCGTTGTTTTGTATCTATTTCTCATCTCGCCACTTTACAAGATCAGTTTGAATCTTAGCTGAGTAAAGAGGAGTATAACTTAAAATTTTTACCCTAATTCGTGGAAATTTCGAACAGAAAAATGGAAAACTTATTTCTTAGCGAGTCAAATACAAGTGAACAAGAAAGCTTTCACGAGGCTCGCAATAATCTTTTTAATAAATCATTTTTGTATTACTTTTATAACAATTCATTAGTTTTGTAACTTTCTGTGAAATATCCTTTCAAATACACACGAATATCCTTCGCAAGTTGTCAAATAAGCATCACCACAATATGGTTGATGTGGCTTCTTTGCTGTCACCATCAGAAACTTTGTTGTCCCCCCAATGTAGATGACACGGCAGTCAAAAAGGATCCAGTATTTAGAAGCAAATACCATTACATTTCTAGAGGTTTCAAATATCTTAGAATTGCAGTCAGTCACAAAAATCTACATACACTGTTCAAAATAAAGGTTTCTCAAAAAGCAATTAAATTTCAATTTTAAAAATTATATCACTCCTTCAGTTTTCTCTAAAAAATTTGTTTTCCATAATAAAAATATTCAGAAATAATAATTTGTAGGTAATTTTGTGATTTGTATAGTAATTATCAAGTCGCAAAAGTCTGCATACACCTGATTGGCGGACGGGAAAAAATTTGCATACGAAGTTATTTTGGAAGATTATCTTAGTTTGAGGTTACATGTTTCGTTATCTATTCTAATCTTCATTTCCCGAGATTTTTTGACATTGTAACTTCAACAAAATGAGTCAGGGAAAGGAAACATCTTTAGAACTTCGAAATATGATAGTAAGAATGAAATGTGAAAAGAAATCTTATGCAGAAATTGCAAAAATTGTAAAAAAAAAGTCGGTCAACTGTTCAAACAATCTACAGAAATTATGTTATGCGGGGAAATGTGCTTAACAAATATCGATGTGGTCGTCCAAGGAAGCTTAATGATCGTGATGCAAGAACCATAGTAAGAAAAGTGAAGAAAAATCCGAAAATTAGTGCTCCAAAATTAGCGAATCAAATTGCAACAGCTAGTGGAAAGAAAGTGCATCCAGAAACTGTTCGTAAAATTCTTCGATCAGCCGGCTACAATGTTAGAGTTTCTAGACGAAAGCCGTTCATTTCATCTACTAACAAACAAAAGAGACTTGATTTTGCTTCTGCACATATTGACCAAGATTTTAATTTTTGGAAAACAGTTGTTTTTACAGACGAGAGTAAGTTCAACGTGTTCGGGAGTGATGGCCGCGGAAAAATCTGGAGGAAAAAAAACACAGAAATGAATCCCGAGAATTTGACTCCAACTGTGAAACACGGTGGAGGCAGTGTTATGGTTTGGGGAGCAATGGCGGCCGCTGGAGTTGGCAATTTAGTGTTTATCGATTGCATACATTATGAATCGATTTGAATACCTGAAGATTCTGCAAGACAATCTACTTCCAACGGTTCGAAAATTGAGACATGGGAACAACTTTGTCTTCCAGCAAGATAACGACCCAAAACATACAACTAAGATGGTTTAGGAATGGCTACTCTATAAAACGCCTAAACAGCTCCATTCACCGCCACAGTCCCCTGACCTTAATCCCATCGAGCACCTTTGGGAGGAAGTTGATAGGAGAATTCGGGAGCAATCGGTAACAAGCAAGGAAACCCTAAAGAAGGCAATAGAGCTTGCATGGTCTCAAATTACACCTGAGACGACAAAAAATCTGGTTAAGTCGATGCCAAACCGAATTCAGGCAGTTGTTACTTCAAAGGGATGTCCTACAAAGTATTAATGTTACATTTTTTAGCATTTAATTCTGAAAGTTAGTGTTGTTCTGTCTCTGTATGTAGACTTTTGTGACTATATAATTCAATATGTTGTTAATTTTTGTTACATTTTGACGAATTTGTCCATAATTTTTTTTGTTAGATATGAGCTATTATCCAAGATGTTAACGAAAATAAAGTTGTATATTCAAAAATATGAGTAAAGTGCTAGATCTGCGAATATTAGCGGGTGTATGTAGACTTTTGTGACTGACTGTATGTAGTTCCAGACTTTGCTAAGCAATCGGTGTTGAAATGAACCTTAGAGTTTGAACAAACGAAGTTAAAACCTAGATATTAAGATTTATTTTAATTTCACTTCTTTAATGATGAAATAAAACAAAATATAAAATGTTTTTTTTCCCAGTTTCTGTTTTGATTTTTAATGGAAACAGTTAATACATACAATTTTTATGTATTAGCTTATTTGCCTCAATTTTATTACAGCATGCCCGTCGTTGACTATACAAAAGACTTTGTTACATCGGTAGTTTTAGGAAAAGATGTTGTTCCTCGTATTGGCCTCCATCAAATGGAAACTCTGCGCAGTGATCTCATAAATGCTATTAAAAGAAGTCAAGATCCGAAAGTGAGTATCATTGATTATATTATTTGTAGAGCATAAAGCAGGGAAACGGGAAACTTATAAGCATTGTATTTTGCTCAAGCAAACAAACACAGAAAAGAACATATTCTGTGGAGGTATGTGAAAGAGGATAGGGCATGCTTTGTGCTACGTAGACGAAAGAAAAACATAGTAAATAAATCCTAGAAACGGACATGAGAGAGTTTCAGTTTAATAAACAAGAACATTCCTCAGTGTCTGAACACCAAAAATGTCAGTATCTAAACATTATTTTTGGTGTGTAAATACTGAGGAAGGTTCTTGTTTTATGGGACCAAAACTGCAGCATGTCCATTTCTGGGCTTTTATTTGTGTTTCATTCTTATTGTAGCTCCCTATAGTAATAAGATTGAAAGCTAAATCATGGTACAAGCCCACTAAAGTAAGAGTTATGGAAAAATGCGTTTAAAAGATAGTTAATGGTAAGCAGGAGGAAAAGCTTCGCATCAAAGACGATTCCTCAACACAGTGACATCCCCACGTCGAAATTAACTCTCCTAAGGCCGATCGTTTTCTTACGGTGGCCTGACTGTATTCGAAACGTCCTTTATGTTACCATATCAAAATGTCAGATACAGTTTCTTTACATCTTCAATATGGTCACACAAAAACGTAATCCCTGTCGTATACGAGTATATTGTATATTCGTATGTCGTATATATTGTCGTATATAAACGTAATCCCTGTCGTTATAATAGCCAGTTATAGAAGCTCCAGAATCATCGGTCTGTCAACGTTTATTTATTTATTTATATTTTTTACAAGTCATTTTTCAATTTTTTGTTCAATTAAATTTTTGCTAGTGATTCACATTACTTCTACTTTAGATCAAGCATTAGCTTAGAACCCACGGGTCAAAGGTTGCCTAACAGTCGTGCAGCGCATCTTTCCGATGTCATCTTTAAGAAATAAAGAGACTACGTTTACGGCATTTTGTTATGAAAACATAAATGACATACAGTATTTAATTCACCACCGTAACAAGGTTATTTACTTTTCATAGAGTTCACTTTCACGCGCATATGTCACACTTATCATAGTCCCCCATAACTTACACAACCCCTTATTTTAACTAAGACTAATAAAATAATTTGACCTTTATACGTCTTCCTACAGTAAACGGACTATGCATCACTTTCGTCAACAACAAAAAATGCTTTTCCTGTGATTTACTGTGCACATGACGTTACTTTACTTTTTTTTTTTTTTTTTTTTTTTTTGCTAATGCATTAAGATACAATATATTCAATATGATACCAATTTAATGTAAAACATTATTTCGACCATGTTAATAAGTTTGATAAATGTCATTTTGACAAGATGAGATTTATTTTATTTTTTTATTTTTCAACTTTTGATACACAGAGTGCTTTCGTGAAGTGAGTTCTAACGTTCAACTAGAAATCCATGTAATTTTAAACCTAGCTCAAATAACAAAAAACCACTTCAGTTCAACTGGAAAACTCATCTTCATGAAAGAATTTGTGGAATAAAATAAGTCGCGTTGTGATAAATGGATACCATATGCAAAATAGTTTACTTATGTAGCTCCGTTATGTTGAATTGTTTGATCAAACTATGACAACTAATAAATGACAAACATCAGTTACCCTTTTTTTCTGTCATTCTAATAAACTATATTCATAAGCTCAGTAAAACCAGTGATCAAATTTAGAATTACATCTCAACTGTAACATAAATTTTGTTAAAAAGAAAAAGGAAAAAAATTTACTGTCAATACAGAATTATTCACATAATGAAAAAATTCCTTACTTGTTAAATATTATTCAAATTATTAAAAAAAAAAGGACGGTTAATTATAAAAAAAAAACTTTTGTGTTCCATTATTTAAACTGACCTCTTATCTTCAAGCATGGCCTTAAAAAATAAAATAGCTCACAAGAGCAAAATTCAAACACCGTGAATTCCTCTCACAGTTGACCAAATGGCAATGGGGTTCAACGTGTCTATCCCAAGAAAACATTTTATGGTTTGTAAGATATTTCGTAAAATTTTTTGGTTTGTAATTAATCAACCTCTGATCCCTGATTTTCAAACCTAAGAGCTTTATCCTCTGAGAAATTACAAATCCTCTAAAGGTATTTAAGAAGTTAAAATGTCGGTGAAAAAATAAATTATAATATTTTTTAACCTAGCTTATCTTACACATTGTATTACACTTATCAATAGGCTGTGTATTAAATTAATAGTGAACTTCATCTCTATTCAGAAAATATATTCAAAAAAGTTTTATATTCTCATAAAGAAACTCTATTCACATTCTCTGTCATAATTCTCTGTAATAAAATTAAATTTCATTGAAAACAACTATAAAAAATCACAAATAGTAAAATTTTTACTACAACTTTTGCTGTTAGGGATTTTTAAAAGTTGTTTTAAATAAAATATATTTTTTTTATTCATTGTATTCTTTAACAGTTAGGAGCAAAATGTATTTTTAATTTCTTTTTTGACGCGACGCTTAGAGTGAAGTTAATTTTATATCACGATTAGAACAGGTCAAGTGCCCCTATATTTCCACAGTTTAATGCGATGTCGATGACTTTTATCCAGATATTATTAATTTAACAAAGAGTTCAATGGTCTTAATTTTTTTTACAGTGGAAAATCATAATGGGAGGTGTTTTATGCTGTTGTCCAGAGGAACCTAAATTCTCTGAGGAAGCTTCTATTTCGGCGGCACGTGACGTCTCGACCCACCCCAGTGATGCATCCATTGCTCTGACGGTGCACCAGCCGCTTTATCCTCCTGGCAAAATAATACATATTGTCAGAAATCATCCCAAAAAAGAAGAGTGAGTATTTGTTTATTTTGTACAAATTATGTGACGAATCTTTTAAACAAGTAATCTACAAGTTCAACGTATGACTGATTGATTTCTAAATTAAAAATCCGGGAAACAAAGGGTGATAGGTAAATGAAACAAATGGTATGTTAATTATGAAAGCGGTGAGAAGTTTAAAAAAGAAGGTTACGAGTTGTAAAATATATAGGTTTTCCATCGGATGACTGACTGATTTCAAAATTAAAATCTGGGAAACAAAGAATGATACAGAAATGACACAAACTGCATGTCTATTGGGAAAGCTGTTAGACTTTAATGCAGAAATTTTGGAATTTAGTTATAAAGTTAGCCGATAAATGGCGCTGCAAACCATCGAGCAATCATTTCTAACGTTAATGCGTGAAAGGAGACAGGATGCTATTTTAGCGACTGAGAACGGATTGACGAGTTTTTTGCGAGTAAAGATAATTTTCCAATCAGTTTCTCATTCGCACACGAAAAAAATCACAGGATGGCCCTTTAAGCTGCGTATTCTATGGAATAACGAGTATTTCTGAAACTGCAATGTCACAGTTTGATTAGATTTTTGCGACATTTGTATTCCTTTAATAAATTCCAAAACTCACTGTTGCGCCATCTGTTGGAAACTTTTGTAACTAAATTCCAAAACTTCTGCATAACAGTTTTACAGTTTCACATTAGACATACCGTTTGCGTCATTTCTCTATAATTCTTTGTTTTCCAGATCCCAGATTTTACTTTTGAAACCAGTCAACCATTCGATGAACACTGTTTACATTTTACTTTACGTAATTTGTAAATTTTAGATTTATTTTTCAATATTTGTAAAATTGGACATTTTCAACGTGATTTACTTCGGAGAAAGTTTTTGTTTCAAGTATTTAATTACTAAAATACTCGACATAATAATAACATAAAATTATCAATTCGAGAAAGTGAAATACATAATTGAAGAAATAATTGTTGGAAAAACATGCTAAGTAAATATTAAAAACACTAAGCTTTCCAGATTTAAGTAGCCAGTTAACTTCTAGTTTCCTGATGTTTCTATGCTAATAAAGCTTATTTTCGCAAATTTACAAAAATGCCGAAAAATGTGTATTATTCAAGTTAATTCTCTAGCTTTTATAGTCCGTTTCATGCATAAGATGGAAATAAAAATATCATATTATAATAATTATAAAGTATGATACTAATTTTCAGAAGTACTATTTTTATCTTCCTTACAGTTCTATTATTGAATGAAACATATCTGTTTCTTTTGTACAATATCACTAACATGTTTTTTTTTTTTCTTTTTGAATAAATGCTAGCCAAAAATATGAGACAAAATGGAGGTAAGATAAGACTAATTTCAATCGATTTCTTTGAAATGTATTAAAAAAACATGCCTGTTCCACTATTTGGTATTTTAGTTTTACACCTATAACACACTAAGTGTTCTGATTTTGTTATCTTTGTAAAAACTTAACTTTTTGTAACCCGGAAGAAATTTAATTTTTCTAGAATTTAATTTTCTAATTCTTTCTTTTAAAAATTCCCCAGACACAAAAATTATAATTCCTTAGATATGAGTACAATTTCTCAGAAAAATCCTTATATGGATAACTAGTAACACAGTTAGAGAAATCATGATTAAAATTGATTGAAAGGAATGAAGTTTAAACCTTGATTCACTTTTGAATAATAGCGATTTCGAAACTTATTACAAACGAAAAGAAACTATACTAAAAAAAATATATATAAAAAAAACTCTTTGTACCAGAAGCTGAGTGGATTTGAAGCTGCCCCGCCACGGTTATTATATTAAAGCAAGGCGTTTTGCAGTTAAGTTATTCTAGTTGGACTTAGAACTATCTGTAATGTCAAGAGACATTCTTTTATCTGAAAAAAAAAATATATCGTTTGATTTTGAAAGCATGGTACATAAATTCTGCCTGTTGCATGTTATATTGGTTTGTTAATTTAAAATAAATACTTTGTACTCGAAATTTTAAATAAATTATTTTCTTTTTCTTAATTTAATAGCAATTTGTGAAACAGCAGAAGATTTACTCTCAGACAAGCACTATGTCTATTACTAAAAATGGGAGTGAAAAAAACGTGAAACTACTACCTAAAATAAAATCAAAAAATTTCATTTCATTTTAACAAGTCAAAATTCTTTTTCAAGTAATTATTATTTTACCGTATTCAAAACATTTGAAGAAGAAATAAAAAGATGAGAATAATTTAGGGTACCCGAATACCTTCGGAGACAAATTTCTGAAATTTTAAATTTAAAAAATTCTTTTTTGGATTTTTGTGTGTATTACACACTAAAACATAATATAACAAAGGAATATGAAAAAAAATATTTTTAGGAAAATATGGGGAAAAACTGGTTAAAAAAGTGGAAAAATCGACCTACTTTATAAATAACATAACTTTCTCAAAATTTATTATTTTTTCATCATTTTTGCTTTAAAATACTCATAAAATCTCCATTAAGGAAATAGATTTTTTATTATACATTAGACATAATATTGATATTTAGACATTTTGGTGCTAATATCGTAACTTATTCTGCAAAAAAAGCCAAAAAATGCTATTAATTATTTTTATTTTAGCTGTAGAACATAAAATTATGGTTGAATTATCAATAATTATCTGAAATTTACGAGTGAATTTCTGTTATTCATGTTTCAAACTGTTATGAATTTTTCCATTATTTTCAAACATAGAAAAAAAAATTCTACATATATTTTTATTTTTGATATTTTTATTTATATTTTTATTTTTGAATTCTACATATATTCTATTTTTATTTTTGAATTTTATTTTAATATATGCTTTTTTTACTTACTTTTCGATTTTATTTCAGAAAAATAGTGAAACATCATGATCCAGTGTATCAAGCATTATGGGCAGATAACATTGACTTCGATGAAGTTTTGATATCGCCAGTAATGGTACAAGATCACATGCCTGATAAAGTCCTTGACGCCTTAGAAAAAGTAATTGATACACTTCCTTTTTCTTATTATAAGTTCAATTCTTGGATATTTTTTAGCAAATACCTGTAATAGTTTAGATTTTGGAGGGGAAAAAAAGAGTTAGTAATACTAAACAACCTTATGAGCGTAAATTCTACTCTAAAATCATACTACCTTGTGAATTATATTGATATAATCATAATTTTTGAATAATATATACTGTTGATTGATCCAATACACATTTAGCATAAGTTCGGTCATTTATTAGAAAGAATTTTATACCACCATAAATCATATCGAATGTTCATTAGGCTGAAAGAAAACCATGCATACATTAATAGACTCGAAATATGCCTACAATAACCAAATAACAACGATTTTTGTTGTTGTTGTTGTTGGTATTTGACTGTTAATGACCCATCCATAAGATTTTAAAATAGATTCTAAGTCGCGTCTTATCATAAAAGAAACGTTTAAATGAGAGACGGAACGCATGATTATGTAACCCTTTCAGATTCATCGGCATAAACAAACTTGGAAAAGAGAAAACGTTACTCATCCCATTAGTGGACGAATTCAGAATCCCTAGGGAGTAAAGTTCTAAAGAAGAACTAGAAAATGTCCTAAAAACTTTACGTCTTCAAAGAAAACTATGTTTGGTTGGTAATTATGCCACTTGCGAATGGCAGCAAGCCTGCTTGGAATCAAGCGAATTTTTAAGGCTGGAGTGCGTTTCTTGTTTTTACAGTGACGCAAAATATGGCTAAGAATACTTCAGCTACACACACACACACAACACAGTTCGTTTTACATGGACCCAATCATACTCCACTCTTTCATCTACAGATCGTAATTTTACCCAGAACCAGAGAACGATCAATCTCCTATTCAGTACCCCAGAATTATTGATTTGCAACAGAAACTTGGGGGGACTTTGTGGTTCGACAGATTTAACGTACACCAGTCACACGGCCGGCTGGATTCGAACTCCCGCTCTTGAAAACACCAGTCCAACGTCCTACCAACTGGGCACACTTATGTTCTATTCCGGGAAGAGGGTTGACACACATTCATCATGATGGAACTGGAACTATGCACCAGACAAAACGGCCACCATAAGTAACTTTTTATTTACTGCTCGGATCTTCACATACAGTACACTCTCGATTATCCGAGCGTGGTTTATCCGGTTTGCGGATTATCCGTGCTCATTCCGGAGTCACAAAAATATAAAGAGAAACATTTTCAAAATTAAAAAACTTTGATTCATGAAGTTATGACTCTACAAAATTTCTGGAAGCAATATTCGTTATTGGATTACAGTATATGGAATATCAGCATCATGGTCAAAGGTAAAATCGTCTATGTTATCACGATCTTGGAGAGAGATCATACCGCTTGATGAACAATCTTCTTCAGACGTTCAAGAAAAATATGATAACAGTATTTTCGAACAAGCAAAAAGAATCTAAGGTTTCGAAATTCTTGATGAAGAAAATTTAGAAGATTGGTTTCCAGTATTTGACAGATGAAGGCATCGTTATGTTGTTAAATCAAATAGTGATGATAGTAACTGATGCAGAAGATGTAGTAAATGAGGGAAATACAATTTCTCATACTGCTGCTCTGTGGAAACTTTATTAGATTAAATGGGAGGATTCGATTACGGTGACATTACTGTGGTTCGTAAAATATGTGTATCGATAAAAGGCGAAGACGCATTACACATTTTTTTAAAAGGAAAATTCCTAGTCTGATGTTTTACAGCATGCAAATGTGAATAATTTTTATATTTTTTGTACTGATATTGATTTTTTCTGTAATAAAAGGAGTTTTCGGATTATCCGTGTTTCTCGATTGTCCGTGCGACCTGTCCCGGTGATTAGCCCGGATAATCGGGAGTGCACTGTATTAGAATTCATTCTTAATGGTTTGAGAGGGTGACCTCAAATATGCTGAATAATTAATGCATACTATATTTTAAGTTACGAAATTAGACACAAAAACGTACTTACTCTGAATAAACATACCTTTTTTTTTCGAACGGATTCAGATTTTTTGAACCCCAAATAGTAGTAGGGTAGCCGCAATCTGGGAAATATGGTCCCCATAGTTTGTCAAGAGAGCGATCCAAAGTTTGGACTCCTTAATGTTAATTTTACTTTTTACGTATTTCGCCATATCTCGGGAACTTTTTAAGCGAATTTAAAAAATTTTGAGCACAATTATAAAATTTGTTTACCCGAAGATAATTCCATGTAAAATAGAACTTTTAATAAATTCTTAAAATTTTTTATTATTTTATTTAATAACAGATAAAAAAAAGTTTGAATTGTAAGGTTTACAATTTTTATGTCATTTTAAAGTATGTTATTTTGCACGCGAAATAAAACACTTTACTAAAATCGGGTGTATAGTACCTGAGAAATCGAATTTTAATTATAAGACTTCTTTAAAATTCGATTTTTCAGGAACTATTTAACCGATTTCGTTCAAGTGTTTATTTTGCCATGCAAAAATACATACTTTAAAATGACGTAAAAAATAGCATACCTAACAATTCAAAATGTTTCTGACTGTTATTAAATAAAATAATAAAAAAATAATCTTTCTTCCTCTCAATTTATTTGTTGACTGATTGTATTCATTGAATTGAATTTTTGATTATTGTATTTATTGACGGTAGTTTTTATAGTGATTTATGATCGATTTTTTTAACTTAATGGGCTGATTGTTTGATTGTAGTAACTGGATTTTTTTTAAAAAAGCAAAAAACAAATAACATTATGTTAAGCTTACAAAAACACTACTGCAAGCAAGAATCTTACTTTTATTTCAGAGAGAAATGTATGCAATACACAGATAATATGTAGGTCGCTTGCAAATTACCTGGGTAATTCGAGAAACGAATTGATTTTTGGCACTTTAACGAATCAGCTAGTGCACATTTGCTAAATAATTCGCAGAATAACCGATTTCTACATCTTAGCACTAGTGTACGCATTTTTTTTAACTTATAACAGTAAATATACTTTTATATTGCCCTGATATTTCGTTTTATTTTACTTTCAGCTATTGATTAACACGGGTCCTGCAAAACCTCAAAGACAATTATCAGACGCTGATCGACGACAAATATCAAATCCCGGCACACTGGAAACTGGAGCTCACCCCCGGCCGTCTCGTATCAACCACGAGACAAGCTTTACAGACGTTTCTCGAGACAGTGAAGAAGCGGTCTCGAGACCCGATAAACCACATTTATTAGTTCCAAACTGGGAGTACAACGACATAAGCGGTGGTGAGATGGACGAAGAGAAAAAAACGAATCTCGATAAGCAAGACTGGGACGTGGCACCCCTTGCTTCGCCAGAAACTCTCTCAGATGTTTCGAGTGTTTCATCGAAAGGAAGCAAGAACAATGGTAACCGCATTTCTTGGTGTGGTGTTCCGCCGATGGCCCCTATTGCTCAGTCGCCAGCAGTCCATAGGCCTAACTCCGAGTCCTTGTCATTTCATAAAAGCAGACCGACTTCTACAATGCACGGCGACTCTGGCACTGATATATCAGACAATTTCAATTTTCCTGTGAGCCACAAAGTGGTGACGAAAGCCACGGTGGAACGAGAGGACGTATACTCGCCTTCTCTCATGAACCCTTCAAAAATGAATCTAAATATCGAACTCGAAAAGAACATACAATATGGAGAAGGGGACATATGTCCCTTCGGAACAGATAGTACTTACGCTAGCTCAAGTACGGACAGGACGATAGAACCACTTTTTACCCCCCATGAACCAAAACGAGTGACGTTTGATTTGTACGATACACAAAAAATGGCTAGAGAAGTGTCCGAAGACAGCATGTATAACTCAGGAGAATCATTTGTACCTACTTATCCTGAATACAGCAACCAACAGGAATATGGAACACATGATTACATGTACATTCCTTGTGGCTACACTAGTTCTAGTCCAATATCGTCACCGACGTTGGAACATTCCATATCTGATGTACAGTTATTTAAACTTTCTGAACTACCCGGTGTGCATAAATCTAGGATAGATGAAGATACTTCCCCCACTCCAGAAATGGCAGCTAACAGTGAAGAAGCAATAATGACGTCATCGCCGAAAATGACGCAACCCAAAAAGAAAACTGTCGAAACCGAATTGTCTTCATCGCCAAGAGATTATACAAAACTGCAAAACGAAAGCAGCTTATAGCTATCTTTTTCCTCGGTTTGTATTTATATTGTGAATATATTCATTGTTCTTCCACGTTATTGGTCTCTTTTGACCTTGTGATATTATTCAAAGTGTAGAGTGTTTAATGCCATCAGAATCTCATGGTTTATTCCTATTTGCACATGAGAACATTTTCCAAAATGGCAGATTTCAATAATCTTTTCGAATTCATAGTCATTCCAAAGTATGTTTCAAAGTGGATGCTTTGAAATCATGTTTTAAATAATCTATTCCTTGTAAACTTTCATATTATTAAAATTGTTTTGAAAGTGTTGAATAATTTTGTGTTCTTCTTAAACACACTGGAACAAAATAGACCTCGTCATTTACACGATTATTTCTACACCATTGAACCTCGTTAAGAGGAAGGGCATCAAAATTGAAGATTTGTAATCATAAAAATAGCAAAAAGGAATTTGATAATTTAAAAAAATAACTAATTAGCAAAGATATCAAAGATTTTCTTGTGAAATAAATGAAAAATAAAATGCCTACTATTATTTACATGTTTCAGTTAAACTAAAAATAAATAAATAAAACATCTATTGAATCTTGGTTTAAAAATTAATACTGTAAATTTTTTTATAAGCAAATCCACATGGCACAGTTGGCATTTTCTCGTTGAAATTGAAACTAATGAACTATTTTAAACAACGTGCTAGATACCAAATGAGATGTTCGCCAAAAAATTTCACCATCACGAGGAAAAGAATTATCCTTTTTTTTTTTTACCCAAGTTCACTACCTAGATGGACAGCTCGTCAAAATTTTACGACCACTGGCTCATTCAGTTAATGGAGACACCAATTGCAGATTGATGCAAAATACCAACAAAAAAAAAATGCTAATTATTGAATATTTTTATAAAAATTTCCATTCAAAAGCAAAGTGTATGACATTACTTTAAAGTGCAACCCAAATAGAAACTGTTTTCTCAAATTTTTAAGAGTCCTTCACTGCTTATCAGTAAAAGAATACAAAATATTAAATTCTAAATTAACAAAACTATATTTGAAAGAAACGCAATTACAAGCAGCAGAATTTTCAAAAGAAAGAATAATTGATGCAATAAAGAAAACAATGGAAATAAAAATATGACCGCCGAAGTCAACGTCTTCAAGGGGTACTGGCCTCAGAACAAATGCCAAAATTAACTCTCTCATTACCCCGAAGGTTTTCTAGAAGTCCAAGAAAAAATACATGAAATACATAAAACCAAATCAGAAAAGAAATTTCAACAAATCTTGAGAAAATAAAAACTCACATTAAACCGGTCAAAGAGCGATTTCACAAACAAACTAAATTCAAAGGAAACTCTAATACAAAAGAAAACAACGCCCTCTTATAAATGCGCAGAATGAAAAAAAGAAAAGACTACTTAACAAATTAGTATAATGCTTTACTGGGGATGCTCATTTAAGACTTGATTTTCGCCCTGTTAAAAGAAATAATAAACTAGCATTCTTCAATCATTTTCTTAATCAAAAAATTAATATTACAATAATTAAAAGGAAAATCATTATTATTACTTAAATTATTCACAGCCTCCTGAAAACTTTCAACGTTATTGCAAATATTTTTAATCCTAACCAATTGTGAAAAAACTAAATTTTTCAAAATTTTATTACACAGATTAGTTTTAAAGTTGCAGAAAAAAATAACTTTAAATATATTATATTACTACACATTAGGAAACTTATTCTCAAGAAAAGAACTTATTTTTGACAAATACTTTCATAAAAATTCGCATTTCAGATGCAAAGGGTAAGTTACAATTTTGAAGAGTGAGATGCATAAAATTTATAAACCTCAAAAAATTAAACGTTTCATAGTGTGAGTATTTTTAGTGCATTTTTTAAATTTCTATTGCAACTCTCAGTAAGTTTAGCATTCTGCAAAACTTGAAAGAGTGATATGAAAAAGAGCTTTTTATGTCAAAAAATAAAAACTTCGAAGCTGCAAATTTTTAACTCTTCACTCTATTATTACACCTTTTTTCAAAAAATCCCTTTTTAAAAATTGTACATGTAAGAAGCAAAGTTTACAGTACCATTTTAAAGAGCAACACAAATCAGAACTATCTTTCTCAAAAATTTCTACAGCTCCGAGGTGTTAAGAGTTTCTAATATATATATTTTTAAATCTCCATTGTATTGGTACTTAATATTAGGACAATTTTTTATTTTCAATAAAGTTTAAGTTTTAGAAGTTGCATGCTTAGTACCATTTTAAAAAGTGATAAATCGAAACTACGTACTAATTTTCATTGATTTACAGTAATGATTATCATATGATTTCAATGATTTTTTTTGTTTTGTTGCCATTTTAGATGGACATTTTTCACATTGATTCTAATATCATATAAAAGGTGATCATTATGGTCAATGCAGGCATAATTTACAACTAGCACTTTTATAATATAATAATATATATGAACTATGCCTTAGTTACAGAGACATAACAGTTCTAACATTTAAGAATTAAATTTTAAAAAGGGGCAATTAAACTGAAAACATAAGTGAGCAATGATAAAATGCTTAAAAACAATATAATTTTTTTCTTTTAATAAATTTATGCTATAGAAACAGCCTGTACAATTTTACTACCACTAGAAAATCAATGCCTACAGCGCTGTACATAGAATAAATGTTTTATAAAAAATAATTCCACGCGTTTTATATGTCACCCCCCTTCCAGGAAGAAACAAATTTTTGACATGTATGATCAAAACAATATCAAAAAAAGAACACTCGATACACAGTCAGGCAATGAGTATATTTATAAAGTATGAAAGTAACAAAAATGTGAATCTGACATCCACATGCACATATTATATTAAATGAATTATGACTTCTTTATACATATATCCGTAAAGTCCAAATACTGATAAATATATTTATAAAATGCTTCACTGTACAATGTAAACACGCAAAAAACTTTGGAGTTCTCTCAAATTATGTCATCGAAAACAATGACTGTTGTTTCTCAAATAGGCTTTGGAATAACAACAGGATGAGGCAGGATTCCAGGTGGAGCAACGATGGGAGCACCAGTCAGCACATCTGGGCCATGTTTCTAAGGCAAATTCAAATTAAATTAGTATTTTTATGAAGAAAAAAAAATCTTTTAAAATATATTGAGTCCTAAATAAATTTTTGCCGCTATGGGAAGAGTTAAATTTATTAACCTTATCACATTATGCTCGTAAGAACTACAAGAAAATGAATTAGTATATAACGCAAATATTTATATTTTTATCAGAATGGGAACATACATTGAAAAATTCATGTGGCTAAATTCCTAACAGCTAAAGATATGGAATTGATTTATTTTATTTGAATTTTTTTTTTTCTTCAAAAAATATATAGAATTTATAAGTATTACAACATGCTAGTAATTAATTGATATTTTTTTAAAAAAAGATACACAATTTAAATCACACAAAGAATTTTTGTGATTATTTTAAGTAACTATCAAAAAACAATCACAAATAAAATAAGAAGAAAACATGTTTGCAAAAAGCATTAAAAATTTTGTTAATGCAAAAAAGGGAAAAACTTGAAAAATCTTAAGCCTTCTTATAATTTTTTCTTATTTACTAGCATAATTTCATTTCCAATATTTGTCCATTTGCTTCATTTAAAATTTTAGTTTTGATAGCCCAATCCTGCTGTGAAATTAATTATTAATATAATTTAATTTTTCAGTGAAGATTTTTTTCTAAAATATCAAATTTGCTTTTACCAAGGAGTATTTCTACTTGGAAGAAATAAATAAATGAAAAAGAAAAAAAGAAATTACACTTAATATTACATATTGTTATATATGAGAAGAACTTAATGCTTTAATTTTTTAAGCACATTGTCGACCCTGACTAGTTAACTTATCAATACACTTGCATTATCCATTTCAATTTATGAAACCCAGGGCACTATAAAATATTTCAAAGTTTAATTTAATTTTAATCAGTATAAATAAAATTTATTACAGATTACTTAAATTTTTCACTCAACATCAATGATAAAATAATAGCCAGAGACATGACATAGTTTCTATTTAAAATTGCTCGTCAACAGGGTGTTAATATACAATTAGTCCGCTTCTTAAAAGTACTTAGATTTTCAGTATAAGTAAGTTGAGTATTGAATTTTCAGTATTAAAAGAAAAATCTCTGCAGCTTATAATGGTTTAATCTAATACAAGCAATGTACTCTCAAAGATAAAGATACTTAAATATACAAAATATAAAGATACTTAAAGATACTCAAATATAAATTTGATTAAATAAATATTAATACTGCTTTTAATTTATTTATTTTTTTAAACTTTTCATTTCATATAATTTTCTAAAGTTGCATAAATAATTTTAAATTATTTTTCGGAATATTTTGTTCAAAAATCAGTAGATTAAGATTAGTAATTCTATCAGCCGATTTAATCAAGTAGAATCCTTGATGTGCCAAACTTCAAATAATAACATATTACCAAATTAGCGAAATCAAACATTGTTACAAACTATATGAGTAAAAAAAAATAGTGACAGAGATTAGTGGAATGCATATTTACCTGGAAAACATATATTTGCTGAAAAAGTAACATTTAGTAGACTTTTTAAAATACACCAAATTTAAAACATTCAACAATTGGTTTTGAAATAGATAAAATAAAACAGGTGTTCGCATACTTGTTAGAATCATGGCTCCCTTAAGAACTGAGAACCTTCACATGGGCACCCTTAGTCAAATAATACACATTTGCAACATATTATTTTTCATATTTGTAAGAATATCAAGAAGTAAAAACACTACAATAAGGAAATATCACTCTTGTATTACAAAAAAATTGCATATTGTGTAAACAAACAAAATGGATGCCAATTTAACAATTATAAATAGAAATGTCACCATTCTTAAACATTATCATTCAAATTTGAAATGATGTTTCAATCTAATATAAAATGTTTTATTCTCATTAGTTATTTAAATCATACTAATATAAAACAACGATTCTATTACTTTTGAAATAAAATATAAAGATTTACATACTAAAAGATATGGTATTTAAAATAATTTATAAGATTGGAAATTTCTAAAAGTTTAAGTAAATTTAATTATAAGTATTTTGCTTAATAACTATGACAGATATGTTTGATAAGATAGGTAGAACAAATAGTATTTAAATAGCAAAATATTACAGGGAAAATAATACTTTTATCATTTTTTTCATACTATTTTAAAAAAATTAGGTAATAAAGTAAATGCACATACTAAGATAGTCCTACCTTCTTTTTCTTTTTTTCTTTCTTCTTCTTTTTCTTTTCTTTCTCATCATCATGCCTTTTTTGTTTCTTGTGTTTCTTTTCATGAGCACCCTCTAAACTAGCATCTATAATACAAAAATATAACTTTAAAAAATAACCACAAAAATATATATACCTAACAGAATGTTAATAGTTAAAAACAAAAAATTAAAATCATCAATTTAAATCGTTTCATTCGTTTAGCAAAAGCTCTTAATTTTAATTAAGTATAGAAAAAAAATTAGGATTTTTAATGGAAGCTAATAGCATTTCAAAACCAATGCAAAGCTCAGCAATAAAAATATATGTAAGCGACCCGTATTAAGTGCCTTTCATTTGTATTAGCTATTAACTTAATGCGTACTTTACAGTTAGCAAAGTTAATGACATCATGAATTTATAACTTCAAAACTACATTATCTTCAAAGACATAGTGTATGTGACTTTTGCTAAAAACAAGATCTTATCGAAAACAGGGATATAGCAAAAAGAAGTTGATAATATATCAATTTACACTCTGAAATTGTGAAATTTTTTTACAAATTTGCAAAAACAGGATGCCACTTAAAAAGACTATACTCTGTTGCAAGTTAAGAAAAAACATATGAAGAGAGTTTGCTTGCACGAAAGTGCATGCCTAATGGATTAAAAGCTACAAGCACAAACGAACATCAACATTGCAGACTTTAGAAATGACTTTGCACAGTCGTTTTGTTTACCTTTTTAACTCATGTCATGAGAAAAACAAAATCTATTGAATAATCTATTAAAAATTAATGAAAATGATATCTTAGAATTGTAACCACTATATGCTTTTCTGTTCACATTTGAAGAAGCTGATGAAAGAATAATAAACAAATAATAAAATGTTAGCATAAGCGTAATTTATAGTGGTCCAATCAAATCCAATGCTCTTGCAACATCATGTAGTTGTTTATTTTTCAAGTATGAATATTCTTCTTAATAATAGAAATATGTGGCCAAGTCTAGGATTCCAGTAAGAAGACTATGAAACTGTAATCTTTTTTTTTAACAAGTCTTTGATATATCTTAAAAGATAGCACAGATAAAACTGCTTGACATGCTGAACTTTTCAAAGCTTTAATATATTGTTTTGAAAGCCTATTTGCATAATTTGATAATGAAATAAAATGGATGATTACTTAAATCTTATACCACAAGACAATAGTCTTTTCTTAACTTGCAACAGAGTATACAGATCACTATTTTTTTCCCTCTTTAATTAACAACAAAACCACAAAAGCAAGACCCCATTTTTAGAAAGTTGAGAGTTAATTTTTTGACAAATGTTTTAATTGCTTATTGGATGGAAATGTCCGGATTTATATTTTAAAAATATAATAAGATATTTTGCGATATTTTAATTATTATACTTAAATCGATTAGTGATGTAAATTAATCTTAACTAAATTAGGACAAAGTGTTGAAAAACAATGAAATATTTTGTCTTGTCTGCTTCTCAAATGCATAATAGTATAACTTAAAAGTGCATATAATAAAAGCATGTATAAATTTAACTTCCGAAAATAATCTTATTAACGACTTAATAACTTCAAACGAATTGCTTTTATGAGTTATAAATATTATATGACTACATCACTAAAATAACCCTAATAAAATCCTTAAGAATATCTTTTCAAAAGCAATTAATATAACTAAATACTCATTCATATTTAATTATATAAACCAATTCATTTTGATTCTATTTATTTTCCAATATTAAAGTCAAATTATGGATTACAAATACAATATAATAATTATTTTGCATCATTAGCAGGAGCGTTAAATTGAAAATCTCATGGCAATTTCAATATGTTATAACAAACATTCACTTGCATAGTTAACAAAATCTAAGACAGTGTCTTAGTTATCATCTTCATTTAAATAGTTTGGTAAGTCTTTTAATTTGGTGTGTAAATACAATTTTATAACAGAATTGATTAAAAATATATAAATTTAGCACAAGAGTTTAAATACATATAAATGCTGCTCTCTTACCTTGTTGAGAATCTTGTGTAGGAGTATCACCATCTTTATGTTTGTGCTTTTTCTTGTGTTTTTTCTTTTGAGGCATTTGGCTCATTAATCTGTATTGTTCAGGAACCTGTAAAGTAACATTGATTAAAATACAATTATAAACTACAAACAATTTTTAACTACAATCAAAATTTAGTAAAAAATTTTGTATTCTAATTTTTTCATGAAATAATCAAATAAGGGTTAATCTAATTACATCATAAAACACAAACAATTTTTCACTATAATAAAAATTTTATTGGAATGAAATAAAAATGACATAAAAAAATTATATAGATACTAATTTTTAATGGCATAACTGAAATGCACAAGTCAAAAGGGAGAAAAAGGAGCATTCATTTTGTCAAATTTTGATTTTCTTACTAAATACAATTGTAGAGCTCAATCTAAGATTTCTAACCAGGTCTATATTTTTAGAATTTTGTGAAAAATACTTTTAACAATATCTAAGGTTGCATTTATATGAAATGCAAATTTTAAGACAAGCTTTAGTATTTCAATGATTGAATTGATTCCTTATCTGAAATAAAGTCCTGTCTAAAATAAATGATATTATTAGTCAAACCTATATAAAATCTTGTTTATTCATTGGAACTTCTATTAATTGCATGTAAACTATTTTGTTTATTGATAAAGAAAGAAATCTAGTGCTTTCTTGAGTATTCTGATCCGTCTAAATAAGCTTTTGCCATTAATACACATAAAAATGTGTATATTAAAATACATGAAAATTATTTTGTACAGATGGGAGCACGAACAAAATAGAATAACAATCTCTTATTATAGAAAAATGGAACTAAGGGAAATGCCTTAATTTAAATAACCTAAAATTTTTAAAAAAGCTTTTTGGTTTAGATTTTGAAGATTCACCTTTCAGGAATTAGTTAAAAAAAATAAATAAATAAAAAAATAATAATTAAATATATCTCGTCAAAACATTTTTATGTATTAAACACAATCATAACCCTATATAGTCTTTTCATTAAATTATAATATAAAACTTCAAAAAAAAATTTCTTTATCTTTTAAATTTTGATAAATAATTTAATATTCTCAATATTAGGCTAAAAATTTTCAAACTAAAAAATTTAAAAGATCGATTCTTCACACTGAAAATAACCTTCATAAATTTTAAAGGAAAGATACTGCAAAGATACTGAAAGTAGGAAAACAGGAGATGCTTTTCATCATCTTCGAAATAAATAGGTGAAAACATTTAATATTGCCATTAGGATATGGAATTTTTACAAACGCATTGAATCCAATTAAAGAAACTTAAATTTATAAGAAAGCAATTTCAGCAAGACAAAATATTTAGACATAATTTATAAATTAAGCACGGAATACTTACTGGACCAGGATGCAATCTGAAGCCTGACAACTGAGATCCGGTAAGGGGTTGAAGATCTTTTCCACCAATTGGAGGTTTATCAATCAGAGATTTTAAAGAACTGTTGGTAAATAATTACTGAGTCAATAAAAAAATTTATTTTGTGTAAACATGGCTAAAAAGTAAAAATGTGTGATAGATAAAATAATGAGGAAAACGTTACATCATTACAATGCAATTTAATAATATTAAATACAAAATTTGCTTTATAATGTAACTTTACGCTTATATGGCTAAAAGTACACAACTTCTCTCTGCTCAACCACATAAGTAGTTAAACAATTTATAAAAAGATTTGTATGAAAAGCTTGGGAAAATGTGCTTTAAATTGACAATAACAAATGCCAATTCGATAAATGCTATATAAACATAACTTTATAAGGTTTAATAAAAATTAATTAGAATATTTTTTTGAAAAAGTATTATAAAGAATATTTTTAAATTATGGGGTACATTAAAATATACATCATTGATGCCAAAAGAGAATTCAAATTGCCGACTAATTTAATTTTTTATCAATTATTTGTGTTTTGCCAAAAGTTTTTTGATGATTTTGAAACCCACTTGATAAAAAGAATTTAAACCTTTGTTTTGAGTTTTATAAGTTTGCTTTTTCAGCATCAAAAATTAAATTAAATTGTACTAAAATAACCAAATTCAAATTTAATAAACTAAAAATTCTTCACCTATTGTCTTGACTTCCAGGGGCATCTATGCTTCCAGGTAAATTAGGTAAGAAAGCACTCAGCTGATCCTTCATTTTTCTACCGCAAAATTTGTTATAGGAATGTTCCAGATTATAGTAGGTCATCAAGTTTGTTGCTCCAGTCAATTCACTCTCTATGGATAATTAATTATAATTCAATGCGTTAATAACAACAAAAAATGAATTAAACATTTTTTATCACAATAGTCAGGTTTTGGACACAATTGTAAAATCGATGGTCTTATAATGGATTTTACCTGTCCAAAACCTTTCTGGTTTTACAATTGTTTGGTAAAAGTGAAAGTGGTTACCAACCTATTGTAAATCTGAAATTTTTTTTCAAAACCAAGGAATACGAAATTAATAACCTATTAATTGAATTATTGGGGATATTTCAGTATCATGATCTGTTACGCCAACTGCAATCACCAAGGTGCCAAATAGATTTTAAACTTGCAAATTTTTTAAAAGAAATATGTAATGTTTGCTCGGGGGGTTGATACAAGTTATACCTTTCGAGTTAGTCCCTTTCTGAGACTTTTTTTTTTTTTAGTTTCTCATGTGCCACTGCCCGGAAGTTTCCCAAGATTTGGCGATTATTCTGCTCAGATCATGATACAGAAATCTCCCCCAAGACAAATTCTGTGTACTACCAAAATTTATAATTTTAAAAACATTTCAAGAGAGTAGATACCCTGTTCTTAGTACATAACATTAAGATATTTATGTTTCTTCAAAAAAAATATTTTTTAAATAAAACATGCATTTGATACTTAAAATGAAGCTAAATTTTAAAAAAACTTTACCTAATTCAACCTTAACAAAATCACTAGTTATACCTAATTCAAGGTTAGCATTTAAACCCTATAGTCTACATTTCGATAAAATCAAATTTACTTGGTGAAAACAAAACATATTATGCAAAAACAAAAATATATTTTGTCAGATTTGTATAAATTATTTAGATAAAATCCTTACTAGGTGGTTCTTTCATGAGATAGAAAGGCCCGCTATGCCAGATCGCTGGAGTTTTACCCTTTCCCAAAGATATGGTTGTTTTTAATGTTCCAGTTGAATCTTGCCGTGGAACCACAGGGGAACGAGACCCTCTAGGGCTCGATTTTGGGGAATAAGATTCGGACCGTCTCCCCACCTCTGCCATATTAGCTGGACTGATTTTAATACATACGATAATTAAAAAATGCAATAAATAAAAACAAAACGCTCTGACTGAACTTTTCTTCTTTCCTGCTCTTCTGAGTTGAGTTGTTACTTAAAAATGAGAAAACTGGTATAAAATAACAGTTATCTATAGAACAGTTATGAATAAAAAGTACCGAGTATCTGAAAATATCTGTTTAGGAAATATTCTGTGATTCTTAATCATTACTTTTGCATATTACTAGAATGGCAACAATATGAAATGTTGTTGTTGACTTTCATTTTATGTTTACATTTTGGATTGGAATTTTAAAAAAGAAAAACTCAGAAGAGAAAACAAACTATTTATCAATAGTAACTTCTATATTTGAAAAAGTATACTTGTATACCTTTAAATTTTATTTATTTGTACTTCTCTTCACATTCATAAAAACTATTTTCCGAGTTATACTTTCACACATCTAATTCTTTAAAATTTGTTAGGGACATATATATTTTAATTTAATCATTTAGTGAATATTAATTTTTGTTTTTTCATTGCAGAAATGCCGTATTACATGCATGAGTTAAATCCGGATTATAATCCTGCCACTCATATTCTTCGTAATATGTCAACAACTGAACTTCAAATGATGTTGAATGAAAATGAATTGATCGAAACATTAGTTCAAGAATTGGCGCAGGTTTGTTTAATAATTTTGCATGAAGAATTTTACGAATGCTTATGAATTCGCCCAATTATTAAAATTAATGAACAATGATCGGACACAAGTTTTCAATTAAAAAAAGTCAATTAATATACTCTTTTTATGCAACATTTTATAGAGATATTTCCATATCGCTCTCCAACTGCAATTGCCAAGGTGCCAAATAAACTTGCAAACTTTCAAAAAAAATTAAAAAAAACCGTGGAAGTGGTTTGTCCGTTAGGTGTCTACAAGTAATACCCTTAAAAATGGGTTTCATTCTAGGATTTTTTTTTTTTTTGTAGTTTCTCACTGTTTGCTGCCTGGAAGTTGCCAAGATTTGACTATTATTCTGCCGCAGATAACGATATGGAAATCTTCCATTAATACTTATTGTGGTAATAGCTTACAATCAGAAGTATACGTAACAATATAGATCAAGAACCAATCACATAGCGGTAAACCAGAGTTATTGCCAAAGCCAAGGGGCGTAACAATATAGATCAAGAACCAATCACATAGCGGTAAACCAGAGTTATTGCCAAAGCCAAGGGGCTCGCAATTCTACACCTTTACCCTTGTTTTATTTTATATAAAGAAAAAATCTAATGGTTCTATAAATTAAATAAATTTAATCAAATATAGCTATAAAGATATACTATTATCTTTCATAAGAATAAACGAAAAGTATGGGGAAGATGTTTATTGCAGTTTACTAAATTTTGGAAACTACTTGCCAGCCTCACAGGAAGATTTTTAAAAAAAAATTTTTTAGAAAATCAACTTGAAATATATAACTCGAAGTCATATCCGAGCGAGCAATACCTGATCGCATATAAAAAGCTTTAGTGTGCTGCATTTTATATAAGTAAAATCCTTACTTATTTATTTAATAAAAAAATTGTATCCTCACTCTCTTATTAGAAACTGAAATGTTTTAGATCTCCAAATAGGATTTTGAAAAATCAAAATAGGAAAATTTATTTGTAGTATTAAAATGTAAAGTTTGTATGATTTTTTCAAGCCCACATATTTTTACACAAAAATCTATACTTCATATCTATTTTCTGCAATTTTATAGCTGTCTAAAAGAAACTGCTTAAAGTTTTAATTAGTTCTTTGTTTACAATCGAAAAAAAATCTAAACATTTAGTACTTAATATTTTTAAACTAGAATTTTTATCTACATGTATTTGGAAAGAACTTTTAAACTCTACAAAACAGCAAAACAAAAAATTATATGATCAGTTTATTAAATGATTACTTTTAAAATGAAATTTTTTGGTTAAAATCGAATTAAAACACCTTATATTTAAAAATGAATGTTTTTAGTATCAAGCAAATTTTATAGTTTTTCTCTTATTTATTTATTTTTTCCATTGGTAATGTTAGGTTAAATCAGCTGAATCTGAGAGGACTGCTATGTTAGAAAGCAACAAGAATCTTGCAGAATCCAATCTTTCGAAAGAACCACTTCTAAATGAACTAAGAGTAAAAGTTATGGAACAACATGAGGAGTTGAAGGAACTAAAACAAACTTTAGAAGTCAAAAAACAAAAGCTGGGTAAATGTTTTTTAGTGAAATTTATCTTTATTGATATTTTTATTACTAAATTTAAATTCTATACATTATGAAGGTATATAGCAATAGAAATTACACATTGCAAAACAAATCAATTTTACTGTTTATACACATGTTAACTATTACACACTCAACTGTAATACGCATGTTTGATCAAAAGCTTAGTTTTCTTGTATGTGTAATTGACTATATGAAAAAAAAAATTCTTAAGAAGGTTAAAGGAGTTAAAAAGATTAAAAGACTAAGATTCTTAAAAAGACTTAATTTTAAAAAAAAACTTCAGTTTTGATACAAATTTCCGAGTTTTATTTATAAAATTCTATTTTTAATTTTAAAAACTGTTTTTTTTTTATTTCATTTAATAATTTTTTTTTATTCTTGAATGTTTTTTTTTTTTTTTTTTTNTGTTTAGTTTTTTTTTTTTTTTTTTAATCTTTGATATTTTTTTCTATTATTCCTTAAGTATTTATCCAAGTTGCACCACATGATTTATAAAATTCTTTAATATTTGATATAGATTTTTTTTTATGTCCTGCAGTACTATTTATTCAGCCCTAAGCATCTATTTTATTCTCTCATAACTTATAAAAACTAATGCTGCTATATTCTGAAAGATCAAGGTACAGAGTACCCTTATTAGAGATAAAACTTGTTCAAAGAGGCTAGAACATAATTCTGTATTTATACCAAATAATGTCACTATATTAAAGCCAAAAACAACCTGAATGAAGCACAAATAAAAGTGGATATATCGAGTTTGGATTCCATAAACAAGTACTTCCCCTGGTGTCTGAACACCAAATGGCAGTAGAAAAGTAAAGAGATATGCTAGTGAAAAGTGGTTTAATCAATTGGGGCAGTTCAACAAGATGATAAAAGAAGAGATACAAGAAACGTGTGAAGGAGTGTTGCAGCAAACCCCATGGTCAAAAGATTAACTATTATTGTTCTACTATTACCTTCTTTATTGCTTGTTTACCTTAAAATTATTACTGTTGACCATGAGTTTCCTTTTCATATCATTGATACCTTCTATAGAAGATTAATCATACAATCCTACAAACTCCCTAACTTAAAACTGTACTAAACATATTCTTAAATCTTGACTTAACATAAATGTCTTGAAAATCAGAATGTTAAACAATCTTCCATCACCATACATAGTTGGAATTCTGATCATAAGTTTCGGTATTTTTTCTGCTAAAATCATGGTTCATGGTGACTAAATGTTATTGAGTTTTACAAAACTCGTTTTTAGAAGTTCAACTCATCAAAATAAATGTTAATCATACTTAGCATCATGTTGCTATTGCTCATAGTCAACTCATGATAGACAAGAAGATCAATCAATTCTCCTGTATTTATCCCTTTTGAAAAACCTAGTACCACAATACCAACATTAAATACCTATATTAAATTATTTGATATTTATTTGAATAGCACCTAATACTGTAATATCATTAGTACTAATTATTAAAATCAGTAAAGCATCATTGGCATTTTATGTGTTTCTCTAAATGAATTAGCAACTATTCTCCCTTATTTTTTTTTTTATTTATTTAAATTTTTTTTTTTTTGCATAATTTTTACTTATCTTAGTTGCCGATTAAATGTAATTATTTCGTGTTATCCAAACATGCTTTTAAAGCTAACTGTAAACAAAATAAACACTTGGCTTTAGATAACATTAGAGATTCTAATTTGGTTACGTAATCCACACACTGTACCATTGATCTCTGTTCGATATTAGAAATGTAAAAAACAATATATATATATATACAATAAAAAACAGGCAATAGACTCCCCTTTTTTTAAATAGATATATATAAACTAGCAAATGTCACTGATATCATCTTAGTATTTGAAAAATAAGAATCCTCTAATTTATTTTAAAACAATTGGTAAACTAATCAGAAAATTCCATTTTTTAAAAGGTTTCTCCTAATTAATATAAATGAAATTTTTGAACAATACTTATGATTAAGGACTAGAATTTCTCCTTTCAGCCACTGTCTAAATTTTAGGATTAAGAACACTAACAGTTTTGGAGTTATAAAAGAGACATGCAAACTCATAATTTTATTATCATAGATTTATTAACGTTTTTTGCTTTAGTCTATACAGCACACCTTATCCTCCTTTTTAGTATCACTGTGTGTTAACTTTATTTTATAGCAATTTTGCTTGTGCATGATATAGATATACTTTTTTCCTCCCTTAATTAATTTTAGATGAACTGACTAGGCAAATGTCGTTAGACACAACTTTAGCACTGCTGCAAGCATCTGCTGCTGAAGCAGAAGAAGAAAGTGAAGTAAATATATTTTTTTTATATATTTTTCCCCAATCTCTTTCATAATATTTAGTTTCTTATTACTTAACTGAATATTATTTTTTCTTTATATTTTATCATTTAAAATAAGCTTTTAATATTTTTAGATTTGTATATTCTTCATTAATCCATCTTTCGCATTGCATAACAAACTTTGCCTATGGAATTTTATAAAGTGTCACTTTATATGATATTTTGCATAAAACCAAAATTTAGGTTATTTAATTTTAACGGAAATTTAATATTAATTTGCAAAGGTTATGAAGAGATTGTTAATATTTCTAGCTGATAAAAAAAGGAACAAAAATATTTTAGTTTTACAACTTAAAAAAAAAACTTCTACATCAAATATATACCCTCAAAAAATAAACACATGAAGCTTTTACTTTTTTTTTCTTACTTTAAAGCTCTAAGAAAAATCTCCTTTTACTATTGCTGAATCACATGCATTTCTAACAACTGGACTAATTGTTGAATATTTATTCATATGAGGTTTTTCTAAATGTATACGAACTTATTAAAAAATACATACCATTTAAAATTATGCAAAAAGGAAAACTGAAACACTTGATAACAAATTAGTAAATAAATTATGATTATCTTACATTAAATGCCTGGGTAATAGAAATTTTATTCTTCAATTTTATAACCTTTTCTTTCCATTAACAAAACATTATTATTATTATTTTTTTTTTTTTTTAGCTGATTTGAAAATCCTTAACTTATATTGATTATAATTCATTTCTTTTGCTTCAGGCATATGCTGAAAATTTTCTATCTGGAGAAATTGAAATTGAGTCATTTTTAGAATCTTACTTAAACAAAAGAAAACTGAGCCACTTAAGGCGTGTCAAATCAGAGAAGATGACTGAACTTTTACGTCAGACTGGTTCTAGCTTAAATCTCACTCCACCCAGCTCTCGAGCGTCATCGTCATCAGTCAATAAACCCCCATATCCTGAAGTATATGGGCCACCATATCGACCAGGTGGATTTATGCCATTTCCTCCTTTAATGCCTGGAGCAGGATCATTTTATCCTAATATTTAGTTCAATTTGCACAGAAAGAGTTATGAATTATAAAACTAGAAATAATTAATTTTTAGATCATGTTATAAATACTTATATTTATTGAGTTTATTTTGTTGTAAATAATGCATTTCCCAATGTGTGTTTGTCAAATACAAAAACAACCACAAAGTAATATCAATTAAAGGCTGTTGTTCTTTAGTAAGTAACTCCTCAGTGGTTTTATTTTTGTTACTAATTAAGTTTTTAAAGAATTTGAGTTGTATTAATCTCCTTTTTTTGTGTATTTGTTATCCTCCTTTTTATTTTTGTGTCAGTCATAGTTTCTAGCACAATTCAAATCAGTTCCTCTATATACTTCTAATGGATACTAAAAGTAATTTTGGTGTGTATTATATGTTTTTTTTTAACTTGAATTTGCTGAAACTTAGCCACACCCCATAATTATGTACTAATATACAGTGCACCAAAAAAAAGGACCACTCTTAATAACTTTTGATCTAATGATGGAATCTTCATGTCCTAGGACTCAAACTTAAAGGCTCGAGGGGGTGATCTCAAACATGCTACTCAAATAGAATTGACAATATTTTAAATTATGAAATCAGACACAAAACTTACTTTCTATAAATAAACATACCCTTTTTTCTGTCAGATTCAGAATTCTGATCCCCAAGATATAGGGAGTAGCAATCGGGGAAATATGGTCCCCATAGTTTGGTCAGTACAGCGACCCAAAGTTTGGACTGCATAATGTTAGTTTTACTGTTAGCATATTTTGCTATATCTCGAGAACTTTTAAGTGAATTGGAAAATTTTTCGCACAATTATAAAATTTGTTTATCCAAAAATAATTCCATGCAAAAAATGTTTTAGTCAATATTTATTATTTTTTAATATTTTATTTAATAATAGTCAAAAAATTTTGAATTGTAACATAAATTTTTTACATCATTTTAAAATATGTAATTTTACATGGCAAAATACAAAATTTGAGCAAAATCGGTACAATAGTTCCTGAGAAATTGAATTTTAAAAAAGTCCTACTGAAATTTTTATTTTCCAAAATTTATTTTTTTGTGTTGAAATTATCTTTGAATAAGCAAGTTTTATAATTGTGTGCAAAATTTTTAAATTCGCTTAAAAATTTCTCGTGATGTGGCAGGATACGCAAAAATTAACTTTATGAGGTATGTTTAGTCAAAGAAAGTACATTTTAGTGTCCAATTTAACTTAAAATATCCTCTGCACTAAATGATTAGCATATTTGAGCTCACCCTCTTGAACCATTAAGTTTGAATCCTAAAACGTGAAGATCTGATCATTAGATCAAAAGTTCAGGGTGAACCTTTTCTTTTTTTTTGGGTGCACTGTACATTCAATCTAACCCCATGGTGTTAAAAAATATGAAAATTATTGTTTGTTTTGTTTTTTTACTGTAAAAAAAGAATTAAAATTTACCTTCTAATTTTATTTACCATGTTATCCATCAGTTTATTGCCCTATCACCCAATTAAAATCTTAATTTTTATTTTTTTTTCATAGTATTTACCGTATGCTTGTTTATAGTTTGCTCGTTTGTATTTTTTTAATTTGAATAAAATATATTAAAATACTTCTTGAATAATAGCAGCAGTTTATAAATTTTTTAATTTAACTCACGTTAGTGAAATAAAAACTGAATTCGAACCTATTTCTCATAAGAATTCATTCATTATTTAACAATAGGTTTTAATGGAATTAATTTGTACAGTTCATTTAATCTCTAATGTTAGAGTATATTAAATTTCCTGTATTTAAAGGTCCATTGTTCTTCTAAAAATATTCAAGAGATAGTAAGCTATGCATCAAAGAAACTGAAAATTACTCTGAATTAAAATTAAATNAATGGCTTATTACCCCAAAAAATGTTTTAATGCATAATTTTTTATTTATTTTTTTTTTAAAAATGGACTAATTTTAAAACTATTTTATTGTAATCTTTCACTCGATATAAAGTTTGCTAATAATGTTTGGTTTTGATTGACTCTAATACATGATATAACAAAACTTATTCTGATTTACTTGTTTTTAACTGTATGACTGACTTATTATATATTTACCTTTTTTGCTATCTAAACATTTCATTTTCAAATTATTTTTTACAAACCTAGAATGTTTGTCATTTCTAGAACTGAACAATATTGTATTTAGCAAATATTAGTTTACAAGTAAACTATAATTGAAATGTTTATTAGCGATAAAGGATATATTTTTTTTCTTCCTAGGTTTGTATTACAACTTTTGTCAAAACCAATTTGTTTAAAAGTTGACAAAAATATTACTAACATTGCTTACACAAATATAGTGTAATTAATAAGTGTAGTCAATTTTACATTTATGATATTCGTATGTTTTAATGACTGACGTTATCGTAGCTAGTTCCTTAAGCTTTTAAATAAAATTTGCACTACTATTAACAATATTTCAGCTATTTTGTTTTGTCTATTTGAATTAATCTAAACTTTTCTATATAACAGATTTTTTCGCAACTGTAAAAGATATCCCATTTAACATATATGAAATAGAATTTAATCTGGGCCTTTAAAAAAATAAAATTCTGATTTTTAAGTTAACAGGCTGCAACATGCACAATTTTTAATCCCATATTTTTTCTTAAATAATTTCACATTTATTTTATAAATAAAACATTTACCATGTCTTGTAGAGAAGTTTCAAATTTGAAAAAATGTCAATGTAATATATTTTTAGTTCTTTTTCCTATGCATGTTTTGAATAAATAATTAGTCTAAATCTTTTAAACAGTTCATGCTGGATGGTTTGAATTTTAAACATGGAAAGAGTAAATACCCAGTTAATTTTCTGAAATAATGGAAATTTTGTCCAAACTAATATGTAATATTTAGAATATTTCAAGACCAGAGAATTTAAAGAATTTTTAATCATTAATAAAAAATTCAATAACTATGATATACTAATTACTATGAATTTTAGTTGACAAAAATATTTACTGTTTGCAATTAACAATAAATGGACATGAATTTAAATTTCTTTCATTTTGTTACTTAATTTTATTTTAAATATTCTTGCATAAAATAAAGATTTTAAAACTATCTTAATAACAAAAAATATCTAGTGGTAAAGTAGATTTCCTTAATAAAAATTCTGAAATTTCAACAAAAAAAAATATTATCAAGTAGTTAATGCTGTTTTATATAAAGTATATCAATGAAATATTAATTGATTTAATTTATATAAAACAGCATTCTTTTTATTTATTTTCTATTTAATATTTACTTAATTAAATTTTCAGATAAAAAGATTTTGATAAGGATTTTTTCAGAAACTTTACAAATTTTAGGGTGTTACTTACTTGATATATTTCATTCAATCAGGTGATGAGTAACATGAATAAAAAAATCACAAAATAATCAAAATATTTTTATTTGTGACTAGTGTATATATACATTTGATAAATACAAAAATGTTTAACAATTTCTCTCATAGATAGATTGGCATAACGTTAAAAATGTTCATAAATAAAGACATAAATTTTTAAAGTAGTTTATAAAAGCTTTTAATATGAAAGTAGTAGCATTATAATCTAACAATGAAAAAACCCAAAGTGCTTCGTGCAAATCAAGCTGATTTATTTTATAGACTAAGTTTTTTAGGTCATGAAATAAAATGTGTGTGTATATACATTCCACCAAAGGGGAAATAAAGAATACAACTGGAAGAATCATGTTTAAGATGATTCTGAAAACTTTAACTTTTAAAGATTTCTCATTAGAGTTTTTTCATTATTTATCCGATAAATTATTGCTAGAATAAACACTTGCAAAATGCAGAGTTATGTATTAACTTTGGAATTTATTTCTCTGAAGTTTTAATTTTAACTTAAACTTTTAGTTTAAAAGAAAAAAACTGCAGCCCAATTAGCGAGCAACACTTTGGGTATTTTCTTTGTAAAACGCAAACATGTTACTGTTAGATTATCTGTTACTCAATTTTATTGTTGCCTAGTGTTGTAAATTATAAAATTTTAACTAAGGAAGTGTCCATATTATATCATTATCAAATTCAATAGGTTAGGTATTGTGCTGCCATTCTTGTTTTATATTTTTAGGAATGTGGTGTTTGCCTTTAGACATTGATATAAATTTATTTTAATTATTTAATTCATATTTTAACCAACAAATAATGTTCAGCATAAATATTTAGAATATTGAATAGATATGTCATATATATAAAATGAGCACATCGATATGTGAACATATTAGCTGATTTATAATGACTTACATGTTTGTGAAATTCGGAAAGTAAATTAATACAATGGAAAAATTGTATTTACATAAAATTGGAAAGTATTCACTCATCTTTGATGATGACACAATTTAGAGAAATGCATGGTTTTAAAAAGATATATCACAGAGAATTTAATATGGACTATCTCTTATTATTGGCAATACTAGGCATAATAGAGGCTTTTTATAAATTATATTGACAATCATGATTTACAAAATGATTAAATAATACATATTAAAAAGCTAAAATTCACAAGGCACAAATAATTGATGATGTATAGCCTTGTTTTCAACACAATACCTATAGATATTGAAAACATTTAAAAATCTAGCATAAAATGTAACTTCACTAAAAATAAAAAACATTAATGATTCCTTTACACAACTTAATATTTTTTGGCTAATCTTTACATAAAATAGTAAAACTTAAAGCTGTTTAGGAACTATACAAAATTTGTAAAAATAAATATATTTTTCATATTTGATTGAGATTTTAACGTAAAGCTTGTAATGGTATTTATATTGCAAAAAACCAGTTGTATATTGCAAAACATCAAGAATTTATTGAAAATTTAAAATATGCAAAATAAATTTCCCTTTCATTCTGGAAAAAAAGTTTTTCTTCACAGAAAATGTGAGATTTGATTAATCAAATTATTGTGCAGATAGTTTAATTCATATATATTTATCTTTGTAACTTGTTAAATAAATTATAAATTTGATGAGAATAAATTTATTGGTCTTCTAAGGGTTGAATGTAGTAAACGGTACATTTTTATCTTCCTGCATGGAAAGATATTATGATAAGAAAGTTGAATTTTATGTGATTTTTCAAATCAACAACCAGCATGGTTAAATATTTGGTTATATGCAGTTAAAAATTTGCAAGAAATTAAGATACTACAATTTATTGCTACAAATATAATTCAACATAAATAGGAATTTAGTACCATTATAAAATAAAATTGGAACAAATATTTTTACAACCTTTTTAAAAGCAGGAAAAAAGGTAAACATATATTTCTAAAAGCATGCAAATTAATATCTTTATACTTAAAACAAGACTTAATCAGAATTATTAGAAATTGGAATTAAACATTTTTACTAAATATTAATATGAATAATAAATAGCGGTTTATAAAGAGATTAACATATAAAAGAAGGCTTTGCACTCAACTTGTACAATTTTAGTACTATCAAGCATAAATGACAGGGAAAAAAATTATATTGTTTCTTATAGATACTGAGATTCTTTAATGACTAGTGTATATATGAATAATATATTTAAAGCAAAGTTTATAGTGCTGTAATTAGCTGATAAAATATAAGATAAAAATCTAAATACATTTATGTATTTAGATTTCATCTTATATAAGTATTTAAAAACCCAAATTATTCATGGAATATTTATTAACTTCAAAGATATTGGGATAAAGAACTTTAAAAAAAATATTCAGGTACCAGTTAATGTTTTTTATTAATAAAGAAAAAAGCTAATAATTTAACATGGCCCCAAATGAATTCAAAGGAAATTGTCCATTTTTAACAGTGACTTGTGATTTTTATTAATAAAAAAGAAAATATAATTGCTGAAAATTTTTAAAGGCAATTACTCAAAAAACAAGTTAGTTTCTCAGAAAACATATACATATGTGCTTTTCAAAAATATTATATTTCTCTTTTGCTNTATTGGGATAAAGAACTTTAAAAAAAATATTCAGGTACCAGTTAATGTTTTTTATTAATAAAGAAAAAAGCTAATAATAAAACATGGCCCCAAATGAATTCAAAGGAAATTGTCCATTTTTAACAGTGACTTGTGATTTTTATTAATAAAAAAGAATATATAATTGCTGAAAATTTTTAAGGGCAATTACTCAAAAAACAAGTTAGTTTAGCATTAGTTTCTCAGAAAACATATACATATGTGCTTTTCAGAAATATTATATTTCTCTTTTGCTAATTTTTTCTTCATAACTACATGGGCAAATCCACTGTTCAGTTGACACTTAAAATTAATTGATATTTTAGTTAAATGAACATAAGAAATGTTAATTTATTATAAATATATATATATAATATTAATCCCTTTTATTTATTAAAAAAAAACGTTTCTTATTTTCTTCACTGGACATTGAATTGCCCATACATTTGTTTAAAAAAATAACGCTGATTTGTTTTTAATTCTTTTTCTATTTCAATACAAAAATTATTTAATGATTAGGCTTGGTGCGTAATAAGGCACTGTTTGATAATTGCTGGTGAATTTTTTAACAAAACATCCATTTGTGACGAAAAATGATTATTAAAAACCAAAAATGAAATTCAAAAATATATTTTAAATACAATGACATATCAAAAAATAATAAATGCAAAGACTTATTGTTCTTTCTGAGAAAGAAAGTTCAAATATGAAGGTGACTATATACTGAAGAAGCTCAATGATGTGTAATGAATAGGATTTATTCTTTGGTCTGATGCAAGTGAACATGCTGGAAGACTTCAATGTCTGATATAGTGTTCTGAAACTCCCTTAAGGATTCGGAGTTGCAGGTGGGGATGGTTTTGGGCACAAGTTTTTGGAATTAAAAGGAGAGGTTCTTGAACACAACCTAGCAACCATAGGTTTAGTGGTTCCTTTCCTTGAACGATGCTGCAGTTGAAGATAGGACTTTTCAAGCTCGATCATTTCCTGCAATACATTAGCGATTATCAAACCTTTAAAAATATATTTATTTTCCTGTAAACAAACTAAAGTATACAGGGTGATTAATAAAAGAATAAACTTGCACATTTAAACTGATTGTTTCGAATCCAGTGTCTCTAATCCAGATTTTTTTAAGCCAGTCCATGTTAAAATTGTGGTCATTTTTTAAGGAACTAGTTGAATCGAAAAATATTTTAGTTTGAATCCTCTTTTTTTTATATAATTATTTGAACAATATTTTTAAAAAGAAAAACTTGATTTTTGAAAATATTTTTGTCAAAAATTTACCTTTGGAAAGCAAAAGGAACAAAACAAAAAACAGTTTTCGGTAATCAGAAGAAATAATGAAAATATTGACATTTTGTACTCACAAAAAAACTAATTATTACATTTTGCAACAACTGTGATTTTGACGCACAAATATTATTCTAAAACCAAAACATTGATCAGAAATGAGGAAACCGGGTCTTAAATTCAGCATAAAAGCAGGAAGAATTAGTTTTAAAAGAACAAAACAATAATTCTAAAAATCCAGCAATGGCAAATTTCAATCCCAACAAACACTTGATTTCCTTAAAATAACTTCTAGATAAACTTAGATTACATGTATGTTGCAGACATTTATGGCAAACCATGTAAAATAAGATTTTGTACATAAATAAATTTTTAAGAAAATTAAATTATAAATTTTTGAAAAGCATTTTTATGCAAAAATTTTCTGTAAACCTGTTTAGCTACAGTTCTCATTTTTTCACCTAGCAAATAACCATCCTATATAATGCATTACATCTTTATTTGCTGCTGTGTGAATAAATTTTAAAATTAGAAATAAATTTTAAAAAAAAACTTATTGTAGAAAAGATGTGAACTAAATTAAAATGACCAATTCTTTAAAAATAAATTTTTATAACAAATTTTTTTAAAGGGAGAAATCAATTTTTTAGGATAATTCTAAACAAAATGATACCTTGATATAATTCTAAATACATACCTTGGTCTGCTTGGAAAATGTGAGCTGAAGCTTATTTAACTCAATCAGTTTCTGATTGTACAGCAAATTGAGCTGATCAGCTCTTTGCTCTGCTTCTAAAAGTTGCTCTTGAAGTCTTTCACATTCCTGTCGCGAAGAGTGGATCTGAAATATGAATTCCCTTCATTAGAATCATTTCACTTTATTTAACTCATTTTAATATTGCAGTCGAACTCATTGTTTTAAAATGTTCGCATAAATCACGTTTAAAAAATAAACAGGACATCAAAAAAGGTTAGAAACTGTCAAATAAAAATCAAAAAAATATACAAAGGATCAAAAAGTGAAATTTGACGCATTCAATTATTTTTAAAACCTATCCAATGATATCGAACTTGATCTTGCCGCCCCATCAGTGAGGGGCAACTTTGATTTGAAATCTTGAATAAAAACCATTATTTTTCATTGCAGATTTGGATTCTTCAAAAAAAAAAAAGAGACCCAGATAGATGGCGCTGTAACCGAGAAAATTAAAAGGAGTACAAATTGTTAAAAATAGTGGTAACTCGAAACCCATCAGACTGAATATAAAAAAAAAAAAACGGTATTTTCTTACCGTTTTTTTTTTTTCAAAAAAAAAATTTCTTTTCGAAAAAAAATTCAATATTTTTTTTTTAACGTGTTTATTTTTCTTTTTATTTAATGGGTCTCGAGATTCGCCATTTTAAACAGCTCGTATCTGCAAAATGCTCTAAACTATTCTCTGCAAAATGCTATCTCGATCTTCGATTCCCACCTCAGGGGAGGGGGATATTTGGATAGTTTTCAAACATTATTGAATGTGACTATTTTCACTTATTCAATCTGATGTATATTTCTCGAGATATTTGACCGTTTCCAAACTTTTTTCAAACTCTACATATTCCTAACTATAAGAATTGAGGGTGAAAAAACTATTTACAGGAATGGAAGACTTGTGATTCATATAATCTTCGTCATCTTCAAATGCTGAATCTGTTCGACCCACGCCATTTTGAACCACATCAGTCCTACAGTGGCAACTATGAGACATCGAGGTTTGCAGTTCCAACTGCTTCTGTAACGTTTCATTTGCGCTCTGAACTATGTGAAGTTCTTCTTCTTGACTAGCTAGCCTTTTTTCTAAAATATCTAATTTGCTCTGCCATACCTAAAAGGAAAAATATTCCAAATATAACGTTAAATACATTTCATTACTTTTAATTTTTACCATGGTTATATGGAATAAATTTTCAAACAAATAGCTTTAAGTTTGGACTGTAAATAATTTATAGATTTACATTGTTTATGAATACGCATATACAGATTAACAGATTTGTTTTACAGATTTACTTTAACTGTTATTAATCTTAGTTGATAACAGAATTAAAGCATTATTCAATATTATTTTTTTCATTCTTAAAAGGGTCAAATTCCTAATATTTAATGAAAAGTGGTCCAATGTAAAAATAACATTTATAAAAATTACTAGAAAACTATTCTGAAATTAGGTAAAAGAATTTATTATTCGATGAACAAAGAGTGTGACTTTAAATTTGTGTGACTTTAAAATAAATCTTTCAATACTTTTATACACAAATTTCTTTTTTCCAAGCATTATGAGTGCAGAATATCAGAACAGGTTTGTGTCTTAACTCATTCGATTAAATTTATTGATCATATTTAGTGCCTTTAAAATAATGCGTAAGCATATTTTTGGCAATTTTGGATATCTCCTTCCTTACCCTTGTCAGCAAAAATAAGCGAATCACAAACCCCTACCATGCTTACGTGATAAATTTGTATCATGCCCTCCTGGTTTTTACTTTTAATTTGATTGCAGTAATCCAATTTTAGGATCAAATTCTAGTTTAACAGAAATACAACTTTGCATTAAAGAAAATTTCATGTTTCAATTCATTTTATAAAATTTTGAGTAGAATAATTTTTAAAAAATGTTTGTTTTTTCTTTTTGTAAACCTCTGAAGATCCTTGCAGAAATTTTTTTTTTCATTTATTTCTTTCCAAGAATTCAGCTTTTATTCCAAATATTTAAAAATTTTCTATGTATAATTTTTTTATTTGGGTTTATAAGAAAATATTGTTTTACGTATGCTTAGCTAATGCACTTTTTTCCTCCTGTCAGTAAAAATAAGCAAAATCGCAACCCCATTCTCCCGTTAGGTGCTTTCGTAATATTTGACCGGCACCTTATATGTTTGTATTACCTTTAAGTCTTCCTAGAAGCTTTATTTAACTTCATTGAAATTTTTTTAACAAAAACAACAACAAAAAAAAGTTTATTTAAAGTATTATAAATTCACTACTGATATGACTGAAAATCATTTGTCGAAGAAATTCTAATTATTTTAATAGAATATGAAATAATATTTATATCTAAATCAAAGTTAAGTTTTTTGCCAGAAGCCAAGGATAAACAAAAGTTTTACGGGCCCTTTCCTCAAAGCATTAAAAGCCTTATTTTTATAGTAGAATTTTTGAAGACCGTTTATACAAAACTGTAGTTTTTATAATATAAAATTGTAGTTTTATAATATGTAAATTTTCTGCAATTTTCTTATAAAAAAACTAATTAATATGCACTATATTTTTTGTAAAAAATTTTGGTCGGGAGCTCAGAAGTCCTGTCCCCCGGAACTATTCTTCCACCCCTCCCCTTTGAGCACGGCATTGATAAATTTACAGAGATTTCAGATAAGTTTGCAGGACATTCTCCATATTTTACAAAGATATTTCCCAAATAAAAGCATTCCTTATAACATCTACATTTGGCGAATGAAATATTGAGCGGGTCTCTGAATTCCTCGAACGAATTTTATTAAACCTTAGCTTTTTAATTGAATAATTAATATTTTATTCAATGATAAGTTGGATTAAAAAATAATGTTTTAGCGTTTCTATGAATTGATGTAACGAAATTAATTGGCCGCATTTCTTTTCCAATAAATTATGACTAAAGCTTTTTTCTTTATATGTCAAAATTTGAACACTTATTTACAGATACAAAAAATTATATATATGCAGTTTAATTACCGCGTCATTTTCTTCCTTCATCTTCTTAATTTCTTCTTGCCAAAATGTTTCTTCCTTAGATCCACCGGCAGAGTTTTTCCGAAGATCAGCCAAGGCCTAAAAAACAAATAATCTGATTAATTCAAAATAAAATTACTGATTGAAAGAGGTAATAAGGACGGACTACTTTTTTAAGAAAATAATACAGCTGTTATGAACATAAACCAATCTTATAATATAAATAAAATACACATAAAAAATACTAGGGTAATATGGGCAAAACTAAGTTATACTTTAAAAAAAAAAAATAGAAAACTGAAAGGATACTTAACAATAACGCAACTTGTTTTTCATGTTAATATGCGTAAAAGCGAAATTTAAAATAGTACATTAAAGGTGAAACATGAATTTAAGATATACAGTCAAACCCCGCTATAGTGAACCTTCAAGGGACCGAAATTTCGGTTCACTATAAGCGGGTGTTCACTATATCCGTACTACAAACAATTTTAATCAATTTTTCCGAACTGCACCCTTTTATTACACATTATTTAAATAAATTACCAATAAAAAAAAATACAAAAATTATTAATAATCAATATGTAGTAACAAAATATGTGTTAACTTTTATTTTTATTACTCTTGTCTTGCGTACAAAAAACTTAGGGATGGGAAACTGAAATAGAAGAAGCAAACAAGGAAGAATGCTTATGGCTACATTCCATTCAATAGATGGTTTTAAAAATGTAGTTTTTAAGTAGAAGTTTCGAAATTCCCAAAAATTGAAGGAAAAAACTCAGTCGAAGACAGAAAAAAGTTCATAATATCCAATTTCCTCTCTTCTTTTGGTTTACTATATCCACAAAAAATAATATTATATGTGTATAATAAGGTACGGGAGCGAACATTTCGTTCACTATATCCGGGAGTTCACTATAGCGGGGTTTGACTGTTCTTGGTCCTAGATTGCCATTTTTGATAAATAACGTATGCCCGGATAAATGCAAAAACCACATAATTTAAACTCGAAAGTACACCACGGAAGGTGACACACAGAATAGAAACAAAACAAATTCAAACAAGAAAAGTATTATGAATTTATTGTACCATTTGAGAAAAAAAAATAATTATTAAAAAATTAATTATTTTAAGTAAATTACGAACTTGAATTTTCCACCCTTTTTCTCCGACGCCTCTAGGCCAAAGAATATATTCTTTGCCTAGGCCAGGGGTGGCGAACCTTCATGCACCAACGTGCCATTTTTTCTAAAATATATTTTAATGAGATCATAGACATGCCGACAAATAGTTTTGGCTTCGTGATTATTGAGTAAATAATAATACTAAATTTTATATACTCAAAACTCTCTATTTACTACGAAAAAATGCAATTCTCAACTTTTGCAATGTCTCAGTTATACGCGTAATTCAACTTAAAGTAACATCAGTGTGATTTCTGTTGTTGCAGATTAGATGACAAATAACTTATATTAGGGTTATAAGATGTTAGTTTTAGCAAAACTGTTAATTTTTATTTATTGTTCGCTTGTTTTTTTGTGGTTATTAATTGCTTTTTTGGCATTAATTGTTTTTTTGTGAAATTTAATTGAATTGTTAATATGCTGCATAGTAAACTTTGTGATCGGTGGAGTGCCCAAAATATTGTGTCGCGTGCCATACGTGGCACACGTGCCACTGGTTCGCCATCCCTGGCCAAGGCAGTCCTGTGAATGGGTGAAGCTAAAGGACAGTAATTTCTGTCGTTGAGTATCAAAATCGGATCAGTACGTAAAAAAAAAAAAAAAAAATAGCTGAAAAATTAATCAGGTATAAAATTTTATGCTTTTTTTTCCCTTTAAATAGCTCTTCTTTACCCCCTCCCCTCTTACACAGTCACAAAAAAATTTAATTTTATAAATTTTTAGAACAAAACAACATTAATAACAATGTAATAAAAAAAGAAAAACACCATTGAAAAGGTTGCCGATGAATAATGTTTTCGTGTAAACACAATTTAATTTACATTCAAAGGAGGATGGAGAAGGAAAAAAATTGTCTATTGCAAACTATGATTTATCTTTAACCTTAAAATGAGATTTATAATCTAAAATCTTTTTTTTGACATTAGAAACAAGTTAAAAAAATATTTTTAAAAAATCCGAAATAATTTTAACGTTCTTAAAAAAAGGTAGCTATTCAAAATTATTATTCAAAAAGTAAACTGATCTTACAACTTTTTCCAAGGAAGTAGGTGAAGGTCGTATAATAAAATTGGAAATGGAAAGTTCTTCTATTCAATTTTAATTAACAGCGAAAATCTCATCTTAAAGGGAATGACTCAAGTCATACGACTACATTGAATATATTAAATTTGTCGACAAATTCTAAACGTAATTCCTACTAAGGTGAAAGCTGTAAAAGTAACTAGTGAGACAGTGTTTAACATACCTTTTTTTTTTCTCGATGGACTCTCTAAGTTCTACAGCTCTAGATAATTGTGATAAAGCATCAAAACTTTCTGAGGTTTTAGAAAATCAACTTTCTTTTAGAAATATTAGAACCAAGTAAAAGTAAATTTTCTTGCTTTTGCTTATTTTTTGCAGAAGTATGACTAATGGTTAATTCAAAAGCTACCCCCTATTCTTCTATAGTTTAGGGTTTTTGACCCCCAAAATATAATGTGTAGTTGCAATCTTGGAAAAAAGTTTTGAATTTTAAGGTATACAGTTTCTTACATCGTTTAACATGGTTGTAACTTAACATGGCAAAATACAAAATTTGAGCGAAATTGCTTTCTGTGAAATCCAATTTTATAAAAGTTGCATATTTAATAGTCGAATTCTTTTTATCAATTTGTATATTCGTTTAATCAAGTCGTATATTCGTTTTATTTAGTCGTATTCGTTTTATTTAGTCGTATATTCGTTTTATCTAGTTTCAAACGTCATCGTTTACACTAGGTTTATCAGAACTCACTTTTCTCTTAACTTTAAAATAACATAGAAGATGACACAGAATTTTTAACGAAACATTTCCAGAGGTCTGTTTAGAAGAAATTTGGGTTCGTTAACGGACCTTTCACAAAATATATTTTCATAAAAACGGACCCTTCACAAAATAATTTATCTTTTAATCGGACCCTTCACAAATTTGTTTATCTTCATTATTGTTTTGTTAATCGAATAAACCCTTCCCAGGGGGGAAGGCGGTTCCAGACAAATTAAGTTTTCCTAAGTTTAAATTCCAAATGTAGTATTCTAAGAAAATATTTCTACTTTTACAAACATCGTGTGCGCATTCTTATTAATATTAAATCATAATTATTTTTTTTGTAAATAAATAATTTATCAATTTATATTTATTTATAAAATTAATAGAATATTGTGCAAATAAAAATTAATTTCTGGCAATTTTTTAAATAAAATATTAAAAATCAAAGAATTGTTTAAGTTAACTTACTGCGTAACACGTTAAAAGTGATACATTACTAAATTGTGTTATTTAAAATAAGTCAATTGAAATTATTAAAAATGTGAGTGATTCAGTTTCCATTATTCGTCCGAAATGAATATTTTGTGTTGAGCAGTATAGGCTAAATACTAATGTTGCATCTCTAATTTAGTAGCAGCAATTGTTGCGCAGAATCTTGTATCTATTTACAATTTAAAAACTTCTTGAAAAGGTTTTTTAAGCAATTTTTGCAATAACAGGATCCCATTTGCACAAATTCACAAAAACAGGACCCTGGTTTCTCAACGGAAACCTATCTCTGAAGGGAAAATACGAAATAGCACTAAAAAAATGTCCTGACAAGTAAAAACATATTTTAATTCAATTTTTGTATTTGATTTCTTTTTGAACCCTGAACTGCGCTTTTTATTATTTATTTATTTATTTATTTATCATTTCCCTTTTTTTTCCTAGTTATATTCGTAAACGTTAAAGAATTAATGGTTGCTTATTGAGTTTTGTTATCCAATTCGATATACAAAATAACTCTATCAGACTAAAAAAAAAAATATTACATGAAACTTTCTAAGAAGTGCCAATTTTATTTAAAAGTTGATAGAATCCAAAACAGCTAAGTCAGAAACAAAAGCAAATTGTATTTGAAGGAATCGAAAAGATATGCACGAATCCGGTTAATTAAAAATCAGATTATATAGATTATAAAAAATCTTTGATCTTAAGGATATTATTTGAAAAAGTATTTACAATTACTTTCTATAACTTGTCACAAAATTAATCTGTCACGTTTAAACAAACATTTTGGAGCCTTTGTTCGATTAAACTATGGAAAAATACAGAACAATTATTGAAACTACTTCAAAATCTATGTCTAAGTTAATATACANTCTAAGAAAATATTTCTACTTTTACAAACATCGTGTGCGCATTCTTATAAATATTAAATCATAATTTTTTTTGTAAATAAATAATTTATCAATTTATATTTATTCATAAAATTAATAGAATATTATGCAAATAAAAATTAATTTCTGGCAATTTTTCAAATAAAATATTATTAAATTTAATAATTGTTTAAGTTAACTTACTGCGTAACACATTAAAAGTGATACATTACTAAATTGTGTTATCTAAAATATTATGTCAATTGAAATTATTAAAAATGTGATTCATTTTGTTTCCATTATTCGTCCGAAATGAATATTTTGTGTTGAGCAGTATAGGTTAAATACCAAGTATTTGTATGTTGCATCTCTAATTTAGTAGCAGCAATTGGTGAGCAGAATCTTGTATCTATTTACAATTTAAAAACTCTTTGAAAAGGTTTTTTTTTTAGCAATTTTTGCAATAACAGGATCCCATTTGCACAAATTCACAAAAACAGGAACCTGGTTGAAAGAATGTGACTTAACGCTTATTTTATATTCACAAATTATGAATAGTTTTTTCACAATTTGACAAAAACAGGACCTTTCACAAAATGACTGGACAGACCCCTGGTTTCTCCCACGGTAGAGCATTAACTCGCTTCTCAACGAAAAAGCTATCTCTGTAGGGAAAATACAAAATAGCACTAAAAAATGTTCTTACAAGTTAAAATATATTTTAATTCAGTTTTTAAATTCGATTTCTTTTTGCACCCTGAACTG